TTGTTCGAGCTAAATTTCATCCACAAGGATTTTTAACTGCAGATGACCAAGTGAATAACTCAATAACTCATTGAATATTTCTAGTCTTCAATCAAAAATGGAATGTTGAAGTTGTGAGGGATCTGAATCATCTTCTCTACACCCCAGAGGCTAGGCAACCTCTGGAAAATGCTCCACGAACTGCTATTGTCCCTCTGGGGATGCTCTACCAGTCTGGAGAAGATCGTCGAGACTGATGTGAGTGAAAATTCACTCCTACGTCGCATTCTAAAAATGTCAACTCCTATGCAGCCCAAAAAACACCTTCAAAATCCCTCTAGCATCGCTCCATAAACTCCATTGAAGAACTGATAATTGAAACCTTTCAATTATGATTTTTACCGCCAAAAAAATCAATAACATTTAACAAACACTGATTTTTTCCAATTTTCCAAATCGATTCATCTCTGAAATGACGAATTTGCCGAGAAAATATCAAGACAATAAAATTGTAGCTTGAAATGTCCCTCAAAAAAATTTTTTCCACTTTTTTTAATCTCCTCTGAATGCCGTAGTCAGTGCTCCTGGACAAGTACTTCCACCCTGGTGAACGTGGCCTGATAAAAAAGATCCTGCACATCTCGTCGCACTACAAGAGTATAAAGACCTTCATAAAAAGGTACTCCTCAACGAAGGACCTGGAAAATGCCAACGACGTGGAGCCCCTGCCCGAGGGTCTCTACCTCCAGGCCTTCTGCGACGGTCTTGAGAACGCCCTGGAGCCATTTCGCAACGAAATAGTTGATTTGGAGAGATCAATTCTCCAGAATGCCCACACGCCGGCCACGACGATTCTCTCGAGGGTGGAGAACTTCGAGTGTCTATTTGCCCTTTTCAATGCCATGATCAGGCAGATCAGGAGCCAGAGGACCCACGGCACTTGTCTCCTCCAGTGCATCCACGAGCACATGCACACTGGCATCCCGGAGGTGAGGGCTGCCCTCCAGAAGATTCTCCACTGTGTTCATGCCGTTTTTTACAAACAACTCACCAGCTGGCTGCTGTATGGACAGCTCGAGGACGTCCACCAGGAGTTCTTTGTCAGGCGTACGAAAAACACCCACGACAGCTTCCTCTTGGCTGATACCAAGAGCACATCTGCCCAGAGGGCAAAGAAATTCGATGACATGTGGAATTATGATATAGCTGTGGAGATGCTGCCTTCGTACATCACTGCATCCCTTGGAAATAAAATTCTCAGCATTGGACAGACAATCATCATCTTTGGAAATGATCCCAGGCAGGATAAAGGTTGTAATTATTGAGATTAATTTGTCGAATTTGTTCTTATTCCTGTTTTTCCCTCTTTTTAATCATCTAGACTACAAAATGAAGACAGAGATAACGAAAAATCCAGTCTGGGGTGAGAAAGAGCACGAGTACTTCGGTAAACTCCAGAGCCTTCAGATGAAGCCAGTGTTCAATGTTATTGAATTCGAGAACACGATTGACGAATTGAAGAAGAGTGTCACGAGGCTTTTGTGGCAGGTGGCAGTCGATGATGCCCAATTACTCCAGCAGATCAAGCTCATCAAGGATTTTTATCTGATAGGCCGAGGAGATCTCTTCCTTGATTTCATTAAACTCACGTCTCATATCCTCAATAAACCCCCAACGAGTCACACATCGAGGGATGTCAATTTGGCCTTCCAAATGACGATGAGACGAGTCATGCTGAATGACGAGAGTGCAGTGGAGAGTTTTAACTTCGTCCTGCCATCGACAAAATCTCAGGCAGAGGGAACACAGGGGAGTGGGCAGAGCAGTCAAAAAGATAGAGAGGATCCTATCGGTGAGAAATTCATTTTTTTTAATTATTCATTTTTTTAATGATTGAAATTTTTTTTATTTTTGCAGATAAATTGGGGTGGGGTATGATTGTCCTGCAATATCGAGTAGCTTGGCCCCTTCAGCTGCTCTTCAGCCCGAAGGCCTTGAACAATTACAACACAATCTTCAGGTTTCTTTTGAGAGTGAAAAAAACACAGATTAATCTGTGGAATCTCTGGACAGAGCACACACGCACTCGGAACATCGACATTGGAGTCCTTCAATTTCGAAATAACTTGATATTTATTCTGGATAATCTTCAGTATTATCTCCAGGTGGATGTACTGGAGAGCCAGTACACGGTGATGGAGAGCTGCATAAAGAATACTGAGAATTTCGAGGATGTTCAGAAGGCGCACTCCGTGTTCCTGGCGAATATAATGTCTCAGACGTTCCTCCTGGGGAACACAGAGGAGCACAATAATCCAGTGCGTGAAAAAAATTTCATTATTTACAAAAAATTGAAAACCGTCTTGTGAATTTCCCCCTAGGTCGTTTAATTTAATTTAATTTAATTCTCCAGGGGAATTATTCCCTCCAGGAACTCATAAAATTAATCTGACCCCAGGTAAATGGTCTTCTCCGTCTTCTCCTTCGGCTCTGTGACGACTTTATCCTCCAGGCGTCGATGTGGGAGGTCACCAGCCTTCTCAGCACCGAAAAAGACGAACTCAAAATGCTCACGGAGACTTTATCGAGTTTAATGAACGTTCTGATCCAGACTCTGAATAAAGTTCGAGCCCAACCCAGTGGGAAACACCTGGCGCAGTTGCTGCTGCGTCTGGACTTCAATCGTTGGTTCAGCAGGCAAATCCAATAATTCAATCCCACGAAATCTTAAAAATACATTATTTATTCTGGAAAATCATCAACGAGTCACACAACCCCTGATTAATCACCAGATACTGGTGGATTGATTGTAATTCGGATAATAAATACGAGATTCTTTTAAATAATCAGTCACTGTCGTCGTTATAATCATCAGCACTGTATCCATAATCTCTCTCACTGTTTCGCTGGCTCATCTGGATTGAATTTATTATCGCAACGTCTGCTGTCAACTCCTCGGCGAGGAGATTCTCGTTATTTCTCAGGGTGGGATTGGCTCCAGAGTCCAGAAGAAGATTCACTACTTCCAGGTGACTGTGGACTGATGCCACGTGTAGGGGAGAATCTCCCATTTTATTCTGGAGATTTAATTATTGACCAATTAAATTTCTAGTGCTTCATTAATATTATTAATGACTAATTATTAATGAGGAGCATCTACTTGAGCATTGATTCCAGTGTTGGGGAGACTGAGGAGATGTCTCACACAGTCTAGATGTCCTGCACGTGCAGCCCAGTAGAGAGGAGTGTTACCTGCTGAATCCAGACCTGATGGAGACACTCCCTGTCTCAAACACTCGATGAGAAATAAAATATTTCCTCGCCTCGCTGCCTCGTGGAGGGGTAATTCCACCTGTTCCATCTGCTCCTCAACTATTAAAAAAAATGAATATATTTCGTCGAATATCTTCAATGGCATTCTCTGTAAGTCCAGTGCCATTACGCAATAACAATTAATTAATGTTGTATTCACCATAATTAGAGGGTATGAGTCCCTCTTTTTCTCCACACTTGGCCTTCCACCAGTTTGGATCTGTGTCAAGATCATGGACATACAGCAACTGACCTTCCTCAAACGACAACTCGTCAGCCTGTGGATCAATCCAATCCTCAATTAACGATCCCCAATGAATAATCAATTAATGAGCTTACATGTTGAGCCGAGTAATTGTACAGTGCTCTCACAACTTTGACTTTCCCTGAGGACAACAAATACAAGTAAATGTTATCGACATGTAGACCGCAAACGAGGTTAGGAATTAATTCACTGGTTCAGACGGTAATTACACAGTTATGGTACACCACCCACCGATTAATTATTAGTCAATCAAATTGTGCATTGAAAATGAGGCAAATGTCGAATTTTTTTTAGACATACCTGGTCTCCTCACAGGTTTTGGAGGCTGAGACTTTGCAGACGTCTTTCCTGTTTCTGTTGCCATCATGACTCAAGACTGACTCAAAATTCCTTATCAGTCCTCTGATTATCGTAAGGAATTTCCTCCAGCGAATTTTCATCATTTCTTTACGAAAACAATTTTTATTTATACGCCTCAATTTTTTCCACTCATTTCCCCTCCATCGTCTTTCTTCAATTAAAGAATTTATTTATTGTGCAATATTTATTTGTTTATATTGAAATATTATTATTCAGTTTCATGGAATTTTTTTCCTGGACATGACAAATTCAGATGAAATGAAAAAATAAACTCCCACAATATGAATTCTTTATTTTTATTCGTAAGTAATATTAAACTCTTTACATACTTCTTACTCATTTCTCGTTATAATGGATAAACTGATAGAACTTTTGCATCAAAACTCGTACTCACTCACTCGTTCTCTCATGACATTGACATACTAATGATTAATTAATATATGTATAGTCCCATCAAAACACTAACTGATTTCACACGATCGTCACAGTTTTGCCCCATCAACTATTCATTCCTCAAGTTTTACCCCTTCTAATCTTAAAAAATCTACTCGATGGTTCATCCTCAAGGTAAAGAATACTCAGAGCGTTCCTCAATCCACACAGATGTTCACTCGCCCCTAATTAACACCAATGCCTCCTAAAAAATAATACTAACTGGATTTTATCAGTCGTATTGTTATTTTTTTTCCACTTCACCATGGGTTTTTGTATCGAACTGTGAAGAATTTTCTATTAAATTGACAAAAAAAAAATGTTACTCCAGTTTAGGCACTAAAATATACGAAATACGTGGTTAAAATTTAATCATCCATTTAATGAAATAAAATGAAGGGAAAATGACGTCTAGTTTATAAATGCGTAGGGAATAATTTACACATTTGGGGTTTTCGTTGAAAGAGGCAAGCTCGAATGTTTTCTTTTTAATTCATTGAAGGGAAATTTAATTAATCGATGGAGATGAACGCAATGAGTGTGGAACAGGAAAAGGACATTCCCGTGTAATTTTATTCTCGATTGAAAAAATCACCCCAACCCCGAGATAATAAAATGACTGAAGTCAATGATATCGTGCAATGAGAAAAACCATTTAATCTTCCAAAGGAAAAATCAACTTGATCTCCTCAATCTCATTACTGGGACAATCATTACAATAATTATTCACCTCCATCTCTACCAATCTTACAAAGTACAAAAATTCTGCCTCACACTATTTCTAATTAATTCTCCACTTCAACAACGAAAAAAAAAAATTACTCTCGTTCTGGCAGTAGACCGTTATTCCCTCGAATCCATATCTCATATCCACACAGACTAATTTTCTCACAGAAATATAGTCATCACGACTCACAATAATCATTATATTCACCCACTCACAACAGCATTACTCTCCAAATCAAAAGCAGTTCTTTTTAATCAGTAAAAAACAAAATCGAGGGGAAAAAAAAACCAGTGAAAAAATATGAAAGAAAATAATCGACAAGCCGAGGGGAAAACATTTTCAGTTCGTGCTTACCTCCTGGGGACAATGAAGATAACTATTTCACATTCTCAACAAATTCAGTAATTTGGAATTTCCAAATTAGTAAATCACTACCTGGTGAACCCGAGGGAACAGGACGATTGCAAAACGAGAAAAGTCTCTCAACGTTATCCTCCCATTGTTTTCTTTTTTATCCTGGTGATCTCCATGAAATTATCAAATGGGGTAAGGGGAAACTGGGAGGGGGATGACGAATTGAGGTACAAGGGGATGTGTGAATGATTCAGTCCTGCATCTCCTCAGGCATTTCGTGGGGATTGATAATTCCTGGTACAGCCATTTGTTGTCTTCTCTTCTCTTCCTGGGCGAGTCGAAGTGTTGTCTCTCGTTCGTCCAGGTAGAGATCAGAGTCATCCTCACCAGTATACTCCTGGAATAAAATTATTATTCCATTCACATTCATTAAGAAAAATTTCAATCGAATGATAAATCTAAACACCTCAAAATAATTCATTCAACTCACCCTAATCTGTACGAGGAAGTCCCTGAGATGCTCCTTGAACGCCGGAATATCCTGATCGAGATTGAAAAGCCCCTGAACCGTGATTTTAATCTGATTATCAGTGAGATGTGGGAATGCAGCCTTGAGTAGTCTAGCAATAAACTCTTGTACATAAATTCTGTTGTCAGGTGCTGGGCCGAGTGGAACAAGAATCCTCCCAAGCTCAACAAGAGTGAACATGTACGCAAGAATAGTGGCGTGCATTGTGATGCCAGCAGCGTGAGATGTATCCGTAACAACACTGAATATATGCTGAAGAATATCGGTGAAGTACGTCTGATAAAAGCTCTGCGCAGCTTGCTCATGCTGCTCAATATTCTGGAGCAATTGATAAAGTATCTGTAGACCAGTATCAGCAACATTTCTCATAGTGTGTTTAAATGCCCAGATTATAGAATCAAGAACAAGTTTGAATTGGGCTGGTGGAATAGAGAGAAAGGCTGGAAAACAGTGGACATTGACAGCCTGGAGTAGTAGAAAAAAATTAGTCCTGTAATCAGGGAACTCCTCAAAGTCCTTATTGATCATCTCGAGTGTGCACTCAAAGACCGCATCAAATATCTTGGGTACTTCACTGGTGATGTGTCCCTCTAGTTTATTGACAATTGTTGCCATAGCACTGAGTACCTCAGGCTCCCTGGCACACGGTACATTTGTCTTCTGATAATCCAGCAGTACAGCATCGAGAAGTGGTGGTATAAAATTCTCAAGTACCATTTGATGATCACTGGATCTGCTGACCCAGTCGGATATGAGCTTCAGTGTCTCCTTCTTCACCACCCTCATGCTCTTTATCAATGGCTGATTCATAACAATCTCACCATTCAAAGCAATAGCAGCACTAATGTTCTCACTCATAACTTTGTATACGTTCAACATGTCTAAATATATTCTACCTAACTGCATAACATAGGGATGTCCCAGGGCTTTGCATGCGCTAATATTCGTCTTGAGAATGCTAGCAAGCTGTTTAACAGCCTCCTGATCCTTCAATACATCAACATTCTTCGATGCCTGACTGATAATATCGTCCCAAACACGATTTGGCAGCAACATGTAACGCTCAATTCTGTCTTTCTGGGTTAAATCGTCGACCTGGGCACTTATCATGTATCCAACTGCCTCGTAAAACGTGTGCACCTGCTGTGTCTGCAGATCACAAATTATGCTGCTGATTGTTGATAGAATTTCCTCGATGAATGGAACTGATTCACCCACTTGGGTCTGTACAAAGTGGCGTCTGCACTTGATGGCAATTTTGATAAATGTATCGCACGCCATGTCCTGGACACCGTCGTGTGTCTCGTGCATGAATTCAAAGAGTTTGTTGACAACTGTCTTCAGGAATTTCCAGTGGGCGCGAAGGAACCTGGGATACTGACCCACAACGTACATTATGTTTGAGGCTATTATCGCTTTATTGTCTTTACCCTTTTTCTGCTCGCACAGACCCAACAGCTCCTTTATCACTGTCACCAGGAAACGCTTCTCGTCCTCCTCGTGCATTGCACCTGATATTGAACCTATCGCCCAGCACAGAGTGTTGAGATTTTTCCAGGACCATTCCGATCCATTCACCTGATTCTGCAATTTCTCTGTCATCACTTTCTCGGTGTCGGCGTAATCCAGATGGGTCAGATAGACGAGTGTCTCCCTCATGTTCTTGTAGAGATTGATCGAGTCAGTGTCCTTCATAAATTCCCTCACAACCTCACCATTCTCATTCTCAACAACGAGCACCTCCTCTGGCTTTGCCATTCTCGAGATCATGATGTATCGAATTTTTGTGAGGACTTGGCAGTAGACTGATCGTCTTGGTGGGAGCGTTATGTTGTTTCTCGCCATGAAGAGGGGAGATGAGGATGACATGAACGGATGCTCCCTGTACAGATCTGATGCCAAACCGTTCCAAAATTCAAGACAAATCTTGAAGATCTCTACGTCCTCAACCTCTGAGATGAGAACGAGGTAATGGAGGGCCTTGAGGAGGGTGTCGATCATCTTCTTCTCCACCAGCATGCCGTGCTCTTTCAGGTAAGTACACAGAAACATTGCCAGATTTTGAATGAAATTCTGCTCTTCGTCCTGGCCAAATGCGTATGAATCACGTATATTTGTGTCGTGTGGGAGCATCTGCTCCAGTTGCTGCATCGTATTCGCGAATAGTAGGACAAGCATGTCGTCGTAATTCGTCACTGTCACTGCTGCTATTTCAGTTAAACACTTCAGGGTTACGTTCCTGAATATCGGCACGTTCAGGAACTTGAATATTAACGTTGTAATTAACTCCGTCTCAAAAATATACCCCAGTGGTATCCAATTTAAAAACCTGAGTAATGTCTCTAGGGTGACAGCGACGAGTGGTACATTTGGTGAATTGTCCATGACAAATTGACATAATTGAAATATCTGGGAGAATTCACTGCACATTGTGTCCTTGAGGTGCTTGGCCTTGGTCTGTGTCATATCCCCACTGGAGAAATCGAAGACCTCCTCCGAGAGGAGCTTCAGGATGGCCATGTTATTCTGACAAAGGCTCTCGTTGGTTTTACTCGCCCCCACGATGTCGCCGATGAATGACTCCCAATTCTTCGGCCATTCTCGTTTTAATACCTGATTGGTATTTAAAAAATTATAAATTCGCAACTATCGTCTGGACCCTCGTTAAATCGACAAATACACACGTACCTGTACTAAAATCATGTTCAATTTATTCAGATAAACCTTGGAATTCTCCATCGTTTCTGGATCACTACTGGTCTTGATAATGAGGCCTACGATGTATTTTTTAATTCCCTCACATTGATTCCTAGGGAGAACTTTCCACCTCGTCTTTATCACTTGTTCCAGTATTTGTAGTGCATAATATTTTGTTTGTTGATTCTAAAATAAATAAATAGTTGCAAAAACTCACGTTTCCAAGGGATATCTCTGAATCTCGAGGAGATAGCTGACTGATCCTGGGGACTTTTTTGTAGCTCTCCCTAGCCTCCACAAGAAAGGTCACCGGAGCAATCTCGCTATCTCCCTTTGTTACTGAGATATCCCTCGAAAAATTATGGAATAAAATTCGATGAATGTAAGAGAGATGCCTGAATTCACCTGAGAATATTCTAAAATAGTATCGACTCGAGTCCAGGCATCCGGATGTTCCTTGAGAGTGGTGAGCACCTCCTGTGCCACCCTCTGCTGCTCACCCATTCCCGTGTACATGCACCCCACAATGCTGTCCAAAAGTGTTATGTCCAGCTTCTGATTGAAATCCAGAAGTTTCGACGCCTGTTCAGCCATCGTCGCCATCGTATCTCACTCGTTGATTTTAATCTGCACGAGTGCAATGACAAAAAAAATATGAGACTCACCCCAGAATTCCCACCAAAGTGGAAAAAATAACACTCCAAATCACGTCTCACACTCTCACTCTGCTCCAGCCATCCAACAGATACTCAAAACTGCGCAATTAATCAATCCACACCAAAAAACAGGACGAACAAATCAGTCCCCACTCAAACCTCCTCCAAAAACATCCAAAAAGCCCCTTCCCTCCCCCAAAAAAAAAATCCTCGAACCCGCAAAACCCCCTAAAATTCCCACCACCTCTCCAGATTCCTCCGGCATGTGTCCAGCACTCCCAAAACCTAACCTCCACCTCGCAGCCCTCCAAAATCCCCTCCACCCCGGTCAAAGGATCAAAATCACCCCCAAAAAAATCGGGTCCTCAAAAAAAGCACCAGAAAACGACATAAAATCGTTCAGAACCGTTGAAAAACCATCGTAGAAACCCAAAAAATTTCGGCCCCCTTTCCAACCCCCGAATAAAACCCTCAATTCATCCCCCAGGTACCGACAAAGAGCCTAACCTCCCCGAAAAATCTCAACCGTTCCTCTAGCCCTCGCCCCCCAAAAAAAAATCCAAAATTTCTCGCATTCACACCACCCCCCATCCCCCCCACTGCACAAAACTCACCGGAAAATCTTCAATTAATGGTAAACGAGTGAAATAATAATAAAATAGCAACTTAACACAAAAGCCAACGATTCCCGCGCGGACGGCAATGCAAACGTCTCTCTCCCTTTCAGTTACATACGCTTTATCCCCCCCTCTTCCACCCTCCTTACCGCCCTCTTCGCTCTCACAGACTTTTACATACACATGTGCACATTGTCGCACACATGGGCATGGAAAAAGTGTCTTGAAAATTTTATTTTGTTTGAATTTGGAGGCAAAATTACGGCTACGTCAAGGTAATTCATTAATTGATTTTTGAGGTGCTAATTGGGGTGAAGAATTTTTCTTTTCTTTTGAAAATTTGAGGATGCTATGGAGAATAATTTGGGTTGACATTAATTAATTTATGAGGGGCAATTTGGGGATGATTTTGGTGGAGGGTAGGGGAATCGTTATCTGAGACGTTCAGGGGATGTCAATAAGCGGTTAATTAATACCTAGGGATTAAATCTGATTGATGAGTGGAATTGAATGAAAAATCAGTGTGAACTGAGAGACAAATCAAGAAATTTCGATTGCGTTTGGAAACGTAATTTTTGATCGATGTAATTATTGAATTGAAAAATAGGATTAACCCCGGACGCGGTGGAAAATCGGCATTTGTAGATCTGAATTTTTGATACATATAAATATATAAAAATAACCCACCATTTGCCATCGAGTTGTATTATTTATTTACAAGGATAAAAGCCTTGAAAAAAATTAATATCTTGTGAAATTCGTGGAGATCATGGGGCAGAGATTTTAACCGGAATTTGAATTTTGAGGTCAAAAAATTGGAGAATAATGATGAAATCTCATCGTCACCCTGGAACTCTCTAAAAAATAAATCAAATCAATCAAAAAAAAATCAGTGCGTGTGTAAAACACACATATGAAGTTGAAATTAATTAAACAAAGAGAGAAAGGCAAAAATGAGAAAATCCTCTCCCACAAGAGTCAATAAAAAAATGTGAAACCCTCGAAAACCTGAACGTCTCACAATACCACTGAAAAAAAAATGAATCCAATTAATAACCACCACCATAACCTCCACCAGGAGAAATCCCCAAAAAGCTTAAAAGTACTGAACCCCATGCACTACATACCCGATAATAACAAACGTCCCAGTAAACAATAGTCCTCGTCCCACCGTTAATCGAGTCCCCGTAAACAAATCATCGGTGCACCAGGTGCAGCGATTTGTAAATCTGGAAAATCTCGTTTGAGTTTTCAACAGTCGATCGTCTCCAAACGATTACATGAAAAAAATAATCCAGAGTATCCAGAGTCAATCGATTATTTATCCGTAAAATGTCGATGATTTGTTTCAACTTGGATAAATATTTTTAACGCCGAGCAGTGAGGGCTTCACCCCGCTAAAAAAAAATCCAACCTACAAATGATTTTTCGAAAATAATAACAAGATGGCGGATGTCGTACTGCGCGCCGGAACGCTGAGTCGTTGGGGGAGAGAGGAGAAACGAGTTATTCCATTGGTCCTGGGGGATTATTACAACCAATTGCGAATCTGGTAATCTTTTGGAAACCAGGGGGTGGCGGAGGGGGTGACAATAGAAATGATCGTGACACCGTGGGTTCGCAACAGTGACTAAGTTGCGAGTGACGTCATTGGAAACACGTGTACTAGAGGGAATCTGTAGAAATTTATTTTGAGGTAATACCTAGGTTTGAATCTCGCGGAAGGGGTAATTGGAGATTGTGATGATGAGAGGCGGATGACACTTGCAGATTCTGAAACCCATTTCCTCTCCATCTGTTCATTATTTATTTCTCCTTGAAACATTGGGCCCGATTATCTCGGGACTTAATCATTTGAGGGAAAACTTTGGCACTTTTTTTGGAGGGCTTCTTCGGGGCTACAAAAAAGTCCCCTGGTGTTTTTTTATCGGGGAGATATCCTGGGAATATGGCGCAGGGAGAGATCAGGGTGATGTCCAGGGTGGAAATCAACACCAGGAGATTGTTGGGGAGGTGCGAACTTATGGCTAAGGAGGATTCTCAGAGATACTGGAAGCTGGAGAAGGTGAAATACAACTTTGCGTGATTACTGGGAGGAATTTTTACGGGGAATTGATTTTTTTTCAGTATATCCTGGCACTGGACGAACTCCTGAAGAGGCTGCAAATTCAGGCTGAGTACGAGATGCATAATTCTTCATAGATTATCAATTAAAAAATTCATTGACGAGCTGAAGTGAAATTATTCGATTTTTCTTTAACCTGTCAATTTGATTGATTGAATTTTCAGCCAAAAATGCCGTAAAAAATATTCTTAATCTTCTAGTAAACCTCCCAGAGACACAATGTCTAAATACATCAAACGAATAGATTTCCTGAAAGGTATCGTAGAGACTGCGAAGATCCCTGGCCCCATCGAGAGAGTCGTGGCAGCGCAGATGTTGCCAAAAACCTCGAATTTACTCTCCGAAACGGCCAGTCCCAGTATCACGACGCAAATTCACCAGAAAACAACAGCAAAATACAACAGAGACGTGAGAGCTGAGTTATTTAATTCCGATGGAGGTAATTGCCGAGGAAAAATTTATTCTCACTCCCACATTGCATATTCCTTACTGAGTTACAGTTTTTTTCCTCAAGGAATGGGACAGGAGGGGCTGCGACAGAGATTGGCTAATCAGCCGAGTCAGGACGAGGATCTCGATGCAATCCTCAAGTACAATAGGAATATGCAGGAGAAAATAGCGGAGAACATGCTCATGATGACGAAGAATATGAAGGAGCACGCCCTCACTGCCAGTGCTATCATCAAGAGTGATATCAGTTCTCTCGATAAATCTGATAAATTAACTGAAACGAATGCTTATAAATTGAATAAGGAGTCGTTGAGACTCGAGGAGCACACCAAGTCCACGTGGAGGTGCTGGCTCTGGCTGATGATTGCTTTCGTCATGATCGTATTCTTCAGTGAGTGAATAAATTAATTATAATTCCGTAAATAATAATTCAGAGACAAAACTCAATGGAATTATCATCCTCTAAATATTACTGTTATTTTTCAGATATGATTTTCTTCATGAAAATAGCTAAGAAGAAAATGTAGACTAATTATCTCCCGTACGTGGTGTCATATATTTTGTATTTCATAGCTTTTTTTTGTATTTAATTTTTTTCGCGTGGAATGAATGAATTTACCAAAAGTGTGTAACGCACACATTTCGCACACGTTTTCGGGGAATATCTTGGGAGCTGTTGGAGATGGAGAAATTTTTGTGGACCCTTTTTTGAAGTGCAGAAGAAAAGTTGCAAAAAAGGTTCAGAGGAAATTTCAGTGGCTCTTTCGGATTTCGAGATATTGCGCTTTTTCGGGTTGTGTGAAGGGGAATTTTAGTATTTTCGAATGTTTCGGGTGGGATTTGAGCGCGGTCATTGGTGGGTGGTGTCATCATAGTTCGAAATAACCGGGACTGCTGGGGAGATGTCAAATGGAGATGAGTCCAAGTATTCTCACAGGATTTACAAGAATGATCCCGTCAAGTACAAAAATTACGTCGATAAACGTGCGAAAATCACTTGTAAAGACTCTAGTATTTACGAGGGAATCGTTTACACCGTGGATCCAGTATCTGAGAGGTTAGAATCAACAATTCAGTTCAAATTGTACTAACAAACCCCTGCAATTATCCATAATTACCCAATTGTGGTTACTAAAAAAAAGTAAAAATAAAGGAAAATTGTATTTTTTTTTATTTCTCAGCGTAATATTAATTAACCCTAAAAACTCCGATAATTGTGGAGCTACAATCCTCATGGGGGGCTCCATAAAGTCCATTGAGATTCTGGAGAATAGCGAAGACAGCCTCCCGGAATTTTTCCTCCAGGAAAAACCAGAAATGTCAAAGGCTGATATCCAGTTGAAAAAAGAAGAACTGAAAAAATTATTAATGGACAACAGAATTCCAGTTGTCGACGACAACGACGTCCTGACAATCCAGGATGTCGTCTCCCTGGAACCGCCATATGACAGCTGTCTCTGCGCTAATCCCATAATCATGTCCAGAATCCAGGGAATTTTATCTCAACTAAAAACCAAATGATAAAAATATCTCACTGTTGTCTGATATATTTATTCACTCATGATCAAGTTACAATAAATAATCATATGGAAATACTATAAATCTTTGTTTCATACTCATTTTTACAAAAATAAATTGGAAATGCGATTACTGACTTACGAACATCATTGGAATGGAGATTTTCTAATTATTTTGTGCAGTTGTCGAGAATAATTGTATAGTAATATATTCCTTGAAAAGCTGGAGATATTTCCAATCGGAATTTGTTGTAAACATTTGTGATATTAGAAGAACGAGAGATATTAATGCTTTTTGAGTTTAGCAAAGATAATTTCAGCTGTTTCCACTGAAAAAAGAGAATTGTAATGAATTACCGGGATTTTCAGTGGCTCTCGCTGGTTTTATTATAAATAATATTTGGATTTGACGAAGTAGAAAGCACGGTTGAAAGCTCGACGTGTAATACTTGAGTTACAATTAGATAACGAGACACTGATAAATCTATTAATGCCCCAAAAGCCACAACAATATTTTATCTCGATTATTTTGTACTACAGCATTTGTGTCGAATATTCAATACCTGAAGACACTAATGAGCTCGTTGATGCTCTAGGGATAATTTCTCATTCAGATCTAGTTCTTAGACAGAAAAGATCATTGTCCAGTGGATATTTTGCATTTGTGCTCATTATTTGTCAAGTTGATTACCCTATTATGCTGTGAGGTATATGAAATGTAATTTGTTCCATTGTCTTTCATTTAGAGGAGAAATTATTTGTTGATGATAAAATAATCTTTCCTTAATCCCTAGATTCTTATTACGTAGAATGATATTTTCTCGTGCTTCGAGATATGTATTCTTTAAAAAATTAACTTATTTACTAAATTGATATAATTGATTTTTCTTGTCGATAATTGCCCCTTCCGGTATTATTCTGGAGTGAGCATTGTCCTGAATTCGCATGCATAAAAAACGTAATTATTCAAATGATCATTGAAATTCATTGTCTATTTATACTGATATTTTTTGTGATTTAAATTAAAAAATGAAGAGGCAGTGAATGCATCAGCGATTGTTCTCTAGTGAAGATTAAAACCGAATTTTTTCTAATAGTGCATTTATCTCGATACATTGAAGAGCTACCGGAAAATGTTAGGGGAATTTTTTTGAGGGAATTCAATGACCTCCAAAAAAATTAATTTTTAAGTTTTAGCACTCCACTGTCGAATCGATGATCTATTGATCCTGAATTGGCGAAAAAATCAGCACAGCTGTTTCCTAAGGCATTTATCCATGAATAAACTTCGGATTTTCGTTGTAATATTGAACATCACTGTGAAAGATCATTCAAAGAATCTTAAAAAAAAAACTGATTCATCCCAAGGGAGGCAGAACAAGTGAAAAAAGCCATTGGAATTTTTTCCACAAAAATTCATGATCAAAAAAAAATTCCTCTGGCATTTTCCGTCAAACCCGCCCTTTCCCGCGATAATTTCAAAACAAGAAAATCCAAATTCCATTTTTTCCTAATAAATCGGTAAAAATTGTCTTCCAATGATCGATTTTCGTCGTAATAAATCTACTCCGATTCACTATCGGAATAATACTCGATGGGATTGGGGTCCCTGGGTTTCCTGGAATATTTAAGTCCAATGAGATCAGCGAGTTCCTCGATATTTTTCAGGACATAATCGAGTTGCTGTTTGGTGTGAGCAGCAGATATGCAGAATCGTATTCTTCCAGCCATCAGTGGTGTAGCAGGGAATCCCACCCCCACAGTGGCAATTTTATTAGCGGTGAGGGTTCGAACAACCAATCCAATCTTCGAATAGAGGTACACCATCATCGGAATGACTGGCGAGTGCTCGTGCCCCAGGATAATAACCCCCATCTGATGTAATTTACGTCGAAAGTACCGCGTGTTTCTCGCCAACTGCTTTGTTCTTATTTTCCCAGCGTCAGTGCCGTCCTCACCCATTATTATCGTCATCGATGTTATAATTTGTTGAGCAATCGGTGGTGACATTGACACTGCGTAACTGTGGGCATGACTATGCACTCGCAAATGATTTATGAGGGCCTGCAATCAATAGTTTTAACACGTCAAGTTTTATTTATAGTCGTTGGGTGTCGAGGAAAATTATTGGCAAATAAAAACAGCTGGTGAAATGACGACAAACCGATAGTAAAATAATTTATTAAATGAATTTAATTACCCTGGAACCGGCAATGTAACCTCCAGCAGAGCCAAAGCTCTTGGTGAAGGTCCCCATGAGGATGTCCACCTCCTTGGGATCGATCCCATAATAATCACAGATCCCCCGGCCATGCTTTCCCATCGCTCCAGTGCTGTGTGCCTCGTCGAGATACAGATAGGCCTTGTACTTCTTCTTCAGGGCGATTATCTCTGGGAGCTGCACCACTGAGCCCTCCATCGAATAAATTCCCTCCACCACGATTATTATTTTTCTCCAGGGTGCCCCGGTCGTCGGCTGACCCTGAACTATAGCCTCTCTGAGGGACTCCTCGAGATGTTGAAGGTCTACAAAGTATTCCCACAATTTTATAAATCGCTAATTGATTATTTATTAATTCCTCCATTCATTAATATCTCCATTTATTGAACGAATGAATTATCAATTACTCTGGACAATTGGGGTCGATAAATTAAATTTGTAATTCATTCATTGAATAAATTTTGAGTGAATGATTGAATAATAATAAATCAAGCCTTGATTCGGTGATAATTACTGTTGTGACGAAATACTCTGGTGACAGCTCCTGACAGTCTCAACCCTAGAATCAATGACGCATGATTTTTTACATCACTCAAGACGAGACACCCTGGGGTCACGAGAGACGGCAGATTTAACGCGTTCGTTGCAAATCCCATGCCGAAGACAATGGCATCCTCTACTCGGAGAAATCTCGCAGTCAGCCGTTCCAATTCCAAATGAATTGGCATTGTCCCGAGCTCCAGGCGAGAGCTGCAGGTGGACAATCCATATTTTTTGACAGCCTCAATGCTCTGGTCAGCGCACGGTCCAGTCGCCTCGGCAAATCCCAAATAATTGTACGATCCTAAATTAATGCAGGGCGTCTCGGTTCCAGTGAACCTAAAAAAGGGTATCGAGTGATTGAAGTATGAGAAACGAGAGGTCCATTTGGAGAAATAAATTCGAGGAGTCGATAATACCTACTGGAATGTCCACCCATAATCGTGAGTAACTCTATCCTTCAGGGTGACCATCGCTCCGGGTACTGAACATATAGGCCGGTTCCAGCAGTCCCTGACTCTTCTGTATACGTATCTCAGGTAGAATGTGTCGAAGGCGTCGTACAGGGGGGGATAGCCCTGAAAAAAATAACATGCAAAATGGATTTTATGGGAACAGCGATATCTCGGGAGTGAACAGGTTTAGTGGATCAGGTTATTCGATGTTTTTTGAAGATCGTAAAAATTATTTATGAAAAAATCTTAGGGGTATTTTTTTATTACCCCTCCTTTGGAGACTATGAATTTTCATCTGATGTTTTCAAATAATTGTTGTGTGAGAATAATACCTTTCTGTTCTGCTCTTTAGCCACTTGGGGAGTGAACAACAATTTATTGATGATTCCCAGGAACATGAGAATATAAAAACCGAGGTGAGTCAGGGCAGTGGTAACGAGTGAAGGTTCTTCGAAGGACTCTTTGCATTTTGGAGAGCATTCTTCTCGTTTTTTCGTCCTGCCGCAGTCGTTCATCTGCGCAAATTCAATAAAATCGTTGTATCCATTAAAATTCGTGACTGTGAATAACAAATATTAGATAGAGAAAATTATATTAACAACTCCAAAGATATTTGTATAAAAAAGTTTATCTAGTTTCCAACGAGAATCAACGACTCAAAAACTACATGGAGTCATCGTTTACTGCGATCTAGCCGGAGGTTCTTATCACGCTATTATCCCATATCTGAGATATTCTGAGTGAAGTCATCCGTTTGAAAGTCTGTTATCTCTAAAAATCCCCCAAACTAATAACAGCACTCGGTTTTCCGCCAATACCTCGAGATCCCTTCGACTTCCACGAAAATGTGAAAAAACTGAATCCCCGGAAAATTCGATAGCCCACAAAAAAGTTCCAATAAATTTTTCCGTGTCTCCGGTGACTCCGGAGATAACCAACAATCCTCTGGATTCTGGAAGACATGTTTTCCCAAAATTTCCGACAAAACGTCACGAGAAAAAGTATTCAAACCTTGACATGTCCATTGCTCTTTATTGAGTACCCGTTCAACCTGGGTACATCCAAGTGTTTATCACTCTCCTGGAGTCTATGGAACATCTCCTCCTGGGTGAAGGTGACTCTCCTCTGTCTGCACGTCATCTCACCATCAATCAGGTCTTCCTCTCGTCGTGTTCCCCTCAATCAGAATCAATTTACCCCAATTCCAATTACCACTGGGATTTACCTCCAGAGAGTCGGAAGTTTCCGAAAAAAAAATTCCCATCCACAAAACGTCAGGCCAACCACCACCCGATCACTTCCTAGAGCCGGTTTCAACGTCAAATTCCTGGAAATTCAACTCGACCTCTCGTTCCACCAAATCGAGAATGAGAATTGAATCCGCAGTGGCCAGTGCCTGCGTGTCTCTTATCAGCTGTCTTATCAACCAGACGCCGAGTTGATGAGGACAATTGGACAATTGAATTTTAAAACACGAGTTGGAGCTCGGGATGACTTGACCGCGTGTTCGTCTCGTTCGTCTTTTCGAGGACTGATTCAGATTTTTTATCCACTGCGGAAATTCCGACCAATCGGAGCCCTCGGCAGGGGTGAAAAACAATTCTAAGACCCCGGCCCTTTCGTTCTCGATATTCTCTGAATTTATTTAAAATTTCAATCGCCAATGATTTTCTTGTAAACTCTCCCTTTTTCATAATAAAAAAAAAGCATGCCAAAGAATTTTTTTTTATCAAAAAATTGAGTGAATAAAAAAATGGACCACTTCCTGTCATGAATAAAATAATTAATAATTTATTCCATTATTTTTGATCGCAGAAAATATTGATATTGAGTACTAAATCGGTTTTCACTTGAAACACCGGCCGCTGCCGCCAAAATTGTAAACGCCCATAACCCGGCGTCTATAACTGAATAAAAAAGTTTATTTATGTTCCCCAAGAGAATGTTTTTAATATTCCTCCAGTAAAATATATAATATAATTATAATTCTCCTTCCAGACGCTCGATTTTAAATTTCAACCGCGCCAATTATCTACAACAATTAAATTATTATTTAACAAAAGACTAAACAACCGTGAATAACAACAATTACAATATCCCACAATTGTTGAGCACACACTGCGGAAAAAAAATCCTGGAGAAGTGCCTCCAGGAGATGATCTGTCAAAAAAAGGAGTCCTGGACTGAAATACTGCCATAAATTCCTGTACGTCGACGTGGAGTCGGACTCCCTCGAGATCGCCCTGGAGGTACATTTTCCAAGAAGATTAAACAAAGTCCTGGACGAATCAGGATCTCCAGGATTTTTATGAAAAAATATTGGGAGAACAGTGCAGTGTAAATCCGCATGTGCGCGCCACTGACATTTGACAGCTGAGAGAGGAGCCGAGCGGATCCTCTCGGCCTCGGGTTTCAGTCGTGAGTGTGAATCAAGTGTGTGCAGTTCACGATAAATTTCCAAAAGTTTCGCAAGCCCCTGGAAGCCCACCCTGGCAGGACCACCATCCAAGAATAAAAAATCCATCGACCATCGGAATTCGCCCCATGGGAGTCCCATAATACTCCAAGGACTCGATAAAAATTGAGTGATTAAAATAAAATCCATAGAACTCCTGGGGAACCATCAGAGAACTGGAGAATAAAGGAGTAGAAAGGGGGAACAATAAATCAGGGATATCAGGGATATCGGGGATATCAGGGATAGAGGTAAGGACTATCAGGTCAGGACTATCAGGTAGAGTGAATAAAAATGGATAAAGAAGAGTACGAGCGAGGCTTCGCTTTTCCCCCGATAAAACGTGACTCAGACTCGATGGACGATTTCGAGCACGTCGAGGACGAGTTAAAATCATCGAATGATTCAAACGCGACAACCCAGCTGGTGGACGTGTCCCGAGCCCCAACGAATCTTTTCGACAGAGAAATAACGACAGGGCGAAATCTCCTAGACACAACGGTCCAGGACGAGGGTAAAGAGGATATCCTGAAGCCGGTGCCAGCGACACCACCGCCATCCGCCGATTTTGAGAAATTCTCTGATGAAATGTCAGGCGATCCCTTCACATCAAATCTCCAGGATCACCTCGAGAAATTCGATGCCAAGAGGATGACCGAGGATTTCGTCCAAGCAGAGAGGACTGGTGACGACGACAAGGAGGAGAGTGTCAACGACTTCTTCGGGAGGGGATCTGATGATGACTCAAGTGCTAAATCAATGATCGAGAGGGAGAGGGTCTTCCAGGGGGATAAGGAAATTCAGGTGAAGGAGTCCGTGTTGCCGGCACCTGAGAAACCACCGGTTATGGATTTTCTTGGTGATGACGTTGTTGCACCCACTAAACCACTGCCACCTGTACCAAGGGATGGAGCTATCAGTGGGAATGAGACTGGTGATGAGGAATTCGAGTCGGAACCTGAACCATCACCTATCAAGGCTATTGCCACCAGGGGAACTCACACCAAGAGGCAGGACATCGAGGAAATTGCACCCAGGAAGATATTCGCTGATATGGGGCTGGGTGAGTCCTTCTCCGAATTAATTCATTGAGTTGACAATTCATTTTGAGAAATCATCGATTTCTTGGCAATCCGTCGTGATGATCGTGATGATTTATCTGGATGACAGGATTTTATTTTGCTTGATGCTGTCAGGAATAATTCTGAATATCTAGGAAACTGATTTCTCAGGCTTCATTTAGTCATGGATTTATTTGCCGTTCACCTAGGGGATTACTCAACTTTCAATTCGGTGACTCAGTGTTCGTGTCGTTACCCTCGTTTTTGTTATTGAAATACTGCGGAAACAGATGCCGGACTGCAGACATATCGTAGGGGGATTTTTCGGTGGCAATCAATTTATTCAATAATTAATTCATTATCGATCCTGCAATTATCCCGAACCGCTAATTCATTTTGGAATAGCAATTGCAGAATCTGTCGGAGTATTTTTTTATTTTTCTAGTGCTATCAAATTATCTCCTGTTAATTCTATAATTATATTTTAGTGGGAAGAACGGGAGGATTTATACGTTGAAAAATTATTTTTGTTTATCGTTTTCATTTTATTGTACAATTTTATTGTTTAATCCAAAATTATTTATTTAATCTGATGAACTTTCGACTGAAAATCAATGATCAGTTTTGTTCTCAATTCCTCAGCGTTTATGAATAATTATATAAAATAATAAAAAACGGAGAAGAACCGGAATATGCAAAGATTAAAAATAGTTGATGTTTAAATTCGCTACGGCGAATCGCGGGGAATTATCCAGAATGCCGGCACATCATCGAGTTTTTATTATCCGACGTTGAGTCATCGACTTTTAAATAAAACTCACAGGGCGTGTCCAATATTCCCCTGGGAGACAATCCGAGGACGATGATTAACAATTAAATCGATGATCGAGTGAAATTTCCTCCAATTTTGCTTTGCCCCCCCCCCCCCCCCCATAGTCCAAGGGAATTGATCGGAAAAATATCAGTACCTCCGGAATTTTTGTCTCTGAATATTAATTTTCACGGTGAGGGTCTAACGAACCGAAAGTAGAACCGGTGGGTTCTAATCAGGTGCTTTTGTAGGCTACACCAGCGGTTGTGATCCGTTCACTTCCGCCTGGATACAACGGAATCATTTAATATTCAGATGGTACGAATGTTCTGCCCCTTTTTAGCAAAAATAACCGGTTTCCCCTGATAAATTGTTGATGGGATTGACCAAAATTGATTGACTGAATTCCATCACTAATTATTTAATCAATCCCAAAATATCATGATCGTCCGATAATTTTCCTATTTTTTATCAAGTGTTATAAATTTTTTAAAAGTTCAGGAAAAAATCGGCAACTTCGAATCCTCGGATTATTTATCAATTATCGATTTAAAAATTTGTTTTATTAGATGCGATTCATTTTTTTATGGGATCGTAAACTTTTTTATTGCCATTTTTAAATTATTTGTTTGTTTTTTATTAATCTAAAATTATTGGCGAATTATTTGCTGGTGATTACACATTTTTTAGGGGTCGATGGAAATTCTAAGAGAATGGTATTATTGAAATTATTTGGGATTATTACTTACCGCGGGGCTCGCGTGTCCGAAGATAAGGAGTTGTATCAACTGATTGCTATCATGACATACAAATGCATATGCACGACTGATAAACGTCCACTGCTGCATAATTACTCGGCTATTAATTTAAGAGATTCAAGATGAATGAACATGAGCGATGATTCGATGTTTCTCCCCCAGACTCATTAATTCTCAAGATAAAAACATAATTTGCGGAATATCTCTTATTTTTCAGCGAATCGGTTTTCCCTGGTAATTAATTCCTCAATTATCCCCGTAATCAATGAGTCTAGGCTAAATTATCATAGGACATTTTTTTATAATTAACAATAAATTGGAAAAAAAAAGGTTCTCAATTTTTTTCGGAAATATTTTTGGACGATTGTTTCAACGTCCGATTAATTCACATTTTAATTAGAAACTTGAAATAGATTAGATTACAAAAATTAAATGGAATGGAAAAATAGATTTTTTATTTATTATTTATTTAAAAAATAATCAGCAAATATTTTTTTGAAAATTGAATTCAGTGAAACTCTTTGAGGGTGAGAGGTTTTTTGGGGGAGTGATTTATTATTCAATTTGCAAAACAATTATATTATTTATCGCGTTCTGCGCAATATTCGATATGTGCACCTTTACGGTGTCTGGTGCGCGTCGTATTATATCGATCTGCCACCGAGACACCCCATACACCAGGATGTCCTCCCCTATTTCTTTCCCCTTTCCAAGGGAAATAAAAAAATGTCCACATGATGCCATAAACTAGGGGATCAACTAAATAAAATGTCCAAGGTCTTCACCTGGTGCTCCAAAAGCACGAGATAAAAATTAAAAAAGGGTGTTCTTCAAATATTACTTTGATTTTAAGATTTGATTTTTTTTTTTCATTTCAGAATTGTAAAATTTTTTTGCTTTTTTGGTTTAGAAATTTTAGGGCTTTTAGTGGATTTCATCGGCTTTTTATCTTGCCGGTTATTTTTATTCGTAAGGGATTTTTATTTATAGATTTTCTATTTCACGGATGAGTTCATTAAATTTTTTTATTTTTGGACGGACAGTTCAGTCAAGGAGTGAAATATAATCAGTAATTTTTAATTGTTTAAATCAATGAAATTGCTCATTAATACTCAAATGTTAATTTGAATTAAATTAAACTGAATTGTTGATTAACTGAATTTGGGAAAAAAAAGAATTAATTAATTAATCGAAGAAAGCGATTTTAATTGAAAAAAATTTCAGATTATTTATAAAATAATTGAGTTGGTTTTTTAAATTGATTATTCCGCTGTTTTTAATTCTTTGGAAATATTTGCAACTGAAGGATCCGGAAATTTCTGCATTATCGGCAGACGATCGCGAATCTACTCTCGTCTATCGCGGGTGGATAAACGCCCCCTCTATTCTTTTATTTAAATTAATAAAAAATAAAACGCAAAAGACATGCAACTCAGAAAAAAATGTTGCAAAATGACGCAAAAAATTGCAATTCAAAATCAAATCAATATTGAATACTCCATTTTCACAGGAATCGATATTATAACAATTATCGATTGAAATCCAATTTTTTTCAGTTAATTCGTCAGTTTTCCTAAATTTTTAAAAAGCCGAAAAATGTTTATAAATAAATTACACAAAATCCACGAATAAATAGTTCTCAATAAGCGGAAAATCTCAGAACCAATTTGCGTTTCAATAAAAAATATTTAATTAAAAATTCCAGTGGATTCCACAAAATTGTGGGAAAAATTTCAGAAAATTGTAGTTTTGCTGGCATCCGATGGAAAAACCTGTGGACGAACTATAAATGCCACCCCCTAAGATAATGAGTACTGGATATTGACATTTGCTACCCCTATTTAGTGCGTTTGAAACATAAAAAAAATGGTAATATGCGCTTGCGTGGGCGCCGGAGTGTCTGTGAACCCTTTGTCCAGCAAAACTCCACACATGAATGATTATTTTCAATTTACCCACTTTCCTTCATTTTTCCTAGCACATGTTTCTTTTCCCCGAGTTGTGGCACTAGGTGTGGAACCTTGGAACGTGTAATTCCAATCAATCGAAACGAATTGCGCAATCGAGACGTGAAGCCGAGATTTCTCCGATTTTTCGATATCCGATCGAGGAAATCCTCAGGATCATTTTGATGCTGGAAAATCATCACAATTAATTTAATTGATTCAATCGCAATTGAAATTCTATTACGATATAAATAAAAATCCCAAAAATGTTTAATAAAAACACCAAAAAATGTGAACCGTCAAAATTAATTCTTTTTTTGAATTCTCTGGGAAATTGAAAAAAAAATATGAAAAACGATGAAAAATTATGAATCCGAAAAAATTTATTAGATTGAAGTGTTCCTTTTTTTTTGTTTGAAAAAATAGAAAAAGTCATGCAAAAGCGATTTGAACTCGAAGACAGCCGATTTTGCCCGAAGTTGTCCGACCATGCGCGGAGACTTCGGTCAGCCCCTAGACCAGTCAGATCGATAAAACTTTTCAGTCCTGACGTTGACGTGAATCAGTGTCGATCGAAGTCCGCAAATATCCCGAGGTGTAAAAAATATTTGTGAAAAATCCACCATTAAAAAATAAAAATCGTGAAGCCGTCCACCTCCATCGATTGTTGACAAGTGGTGACGCCCTGTCAAATTGACAGCAGCACTTGACAGACCGGAGAGGCGCCGATCCGTAGAATCGACGCAGTATTTCGATTTTTCTCGACAAAAAAAAAAGTTTCCACTGAAAATAAATTCCACGTGCGATACCGATCTCTCGATCCACCACCGATATCTCCGATTATCATCATTGATATCTCGATTGTCTGTGATTGAAACCAGCAATTGTGAGGAATTAATTTTTAAACAATGGATTCAGACGCATCGTGTCCCATTCCAAAGAGAGATAATGATGGAGATATTTGCAAGGGCAAGAGCAAGACCACCGGATGCTTTTGGAATATCCTAGACCCTCGTAAGAATTTTTTCCTATTATTTACACTTTTTTGGGAATTTTATTCGCCATTTTTTTGACGTACGGGATTGAGTAATTGCTCATTGTTTATTTATTCTCACTGTTTACTATATTTTTTTTATATGGTTCCGGGGAAAATTTCGACTCATCGATTTTTTTCTTTCCCTGTGGATCGTCTCGTGTACCTGCGGACCCTGACGTCATCGTTTCTCGAGAATTTCACGTCCAGTCATTGTTTACTCGGGGATGAGTTTGTCGTAGGTCAGAGGAATTCTCGGGTTTTTGAAGCTCTGGCCTACAGGGATCCCCAGTGATAACGACAGTTACATAATCGGTGATCGATACGTTGAGAAAATGGAATTTGCACTCGAGGTTTTATCTCCGAATCTCATTGTTCGAATTTTTTTTATCCACCAATAAAAACAACGCGAAGTTTTCTGGAATTATCTCAGGAGCAGTTAATTTAAGAGAAAAACTGAAAGAGGACTTTTTTCTGGAGAATTTTATTGCCCCCAAAAAAGGTCCAGTGAAATTCAGCGTTAAATCCACTCACTCCGGAGATAATTCGCTTTTTAACACTGCCTAAAATTGCGTTTCGATTAAATTCAGTCGCGAACATTATAATTAATTAATTAACGATTGTTGTAAAAGTTGGGTTGACTTATCGCGAGTTCTTCAACCTCATCCCACGAAAATAGCCTCCATTTAAACCGAGTATTGATAAACCGAGAGAGTTGATGGCACTGGGATCGATAGACCAGTAAATAATAAATGGAGGATTGTTCACCCTGGAATGGAGGATATAATGTGAGATAGTGGGTCTCTGGGCATTGGGGAAGACTTATCATAATCATAATAAATCTTGGAGTCATTGCTGTGGTGTACAGCCTCGAGCTAATGCCGTGTTGCTGCACTGATGATACGAATGAATATGATTCAGAGTTTCAAATGGGCTGATTCTCTCTGCAATCCCTCATGTACCTCATTAATTCGCATTACAAGCCTATCATACATATCGATGGGGATAACAACACGCTATGACATCTTTTTGCTTTAGCATTACCACTGGAATATCGAAATCATTACTCTACATTTTTTAAAATCTATTCTTCGCCATTTTTATCTGCTTACCATTACTTATCTCCTCATTTCACCTGCACTAACTAATTATCATTATTATTCTGTCATAATCATTAACCTAACTCCTGGAAAAGCGATAAATGACTGATTTTAGTGATGATTTAATTATACAAGACAAATGATAATGTGGGAAAAATTCTTTTTCCGACATCTTCGGAATTATGGGGTTTAGGAGAAAAGAAAAGAGAGATTTTTTGTGGAAAATTTCAAGAGCTATAAAAAAGTCATGAAGCTTTTTTCCACTAGGCCTGATTTTTACCGAGATATTCACAGAATAATGCGACAAGTTTTTTTTAGAGTGCGAATAAATGGGTATTTGTTGCTTAATCGCTTGATTCTTTAACATCTCTATTAAATTTTCACCTGTTGGTTATGGAATGTAGAATTAACCTCTGATTGTTGTTTTACAGACGCATGGTTTAACCCAGAAAGACTGACTCCGAAAGGTAAGAATAATTTTCATTCAATAATTCATTGAGACCGAAAAATCGTTTAAAAAATGTCAATTGGAATTGAATTTTTAATCAATTCCACACGCTTTTTCATTCTCACTGTCTCGTTGATTGAAATTCAAATTTACGTAGATATGTAGATACCCCGGAGCTTGATACCTACCATGAAAAATGCTGAAATCTTTTCTCTGCGTCTGCTACTCTCGCAATTTTCGCTTTCAATGGAATTCACAAAGACAAACAATTTCCCAAACGAGGTGCATCCCCTGTAAAAAAATCCCTACTACCCCAAGCAGTCACTACAATAAATAAAATCGTCGAAATAAAAACAATCCAACGAAATCTCGACTAAAAAAACGCTAAAGAACCTCAACACGAAGTCGATCGTTAAAATCGGTAGTAACTCGAAGACTTGAATCATCGATAACTCAATATTGGCTGAGTGAAATTCAATATTGAGGTGCTCATTTTGGAGGTGTTAATTAGCCTTTTAAAATGGCACCTTTTTTGTGGAGCTCCAATCGGCGGATGTCGAGATATTATCGATTGAAGACGCGCTTTCCATTTAATCTCACTCATTCTTCGCTCGTATATAGTCTACAACTACAAAATCAGTATCACCTAAATATAAACTGCTCAGAGTCAGCCAGGTTGGCTGGTTTTCTGCCAAAGTCTCTTGGGTTTTTACCTTTCCCTCTCAGTCCAACAGATTGTCTCTGAGAGCAGAGGATCTAGTGCCGGGTTCAGTGATATTATTCGATGATGATCATCATCCGGTCCCTAAAGGAACCATCAAACCACTAGATAATCCCTCACCATCAATTTTTAAATATCATTTTAAAAAGCCACTCGCTCGTTCCTCAATTCAATCGGTTCAGTCGTCGATTCATTATTCGGTGCGCAAATCAGTGATTTAGTTCTTCAATTGGAAATTATTGTTCTGAAATAAATATGAATGTGATGGAGATATTGGAGCAGATAAGGGGGACCAAGTGGACGAGGGAGGAGTGTAAGTTGATTAATTGGTTGTTTTTGGGGAATTGAATTTTCTTTTTCTCTCTTTTACCTTTTTTATTTGAGGTAATATCGAGCCAAATGGAGAATCTGGCGTTTAACTCAAGTGGGTCAATCTCGTTTTGTCTCTTACTCAAATAAAAATAATTCGGTTGGTTATTTGTCGATTGCTCGGTTCAAAGGTTTATTATTATCGGTGATAATTGTACTTTTGTGGCTTTTTTTAAGGTCGCAGTTACCGATTGCTGCGATTTTTTATTGTGCTTTGGACAAAAATCTTGACGTTTATTTTTGGGGGCCAAAATTCCGCTCAAATGATTACGTAAAGGCTCTTCCGTCTTTCCTCGTCTTTTTGTCGAGATTTCTCCACTGGGATTTTTTGGGGTGAAGTTGGACGGAAATAAATCATCGGGGTTTTATTGCTGGGATTTACCGGGGAAAATAGATTTTTTTTTGTAATTACAACGATTTTTTAATTGTCATCGAAAAAAATAATTGAGTTAATTCAGTTTAAGAACTAATTTTGATTGTTTATTTCCGATTTATCTACGGAGTGAGGGGATTTAGGGCGAAAACACATTGAACAGTTCTTTTAAAGAATTTTATCAGCTATAAAAAAGTTATGTACCTTTTTCGTGTTGATCCCCTTAATCACGAGATAACCGCGTGATTAGCGGGTGATGGTACTCTCAATTTTTTTGGGGAGTAGTTATTTTGCGGTTTGCTCATTACGAATTATCTCGGGAATGAGTGGGTTCACAGGAAAAAGTTAATAACATTTTTTACGGAGCAGATTCGAGAGAGCAAATTTTGTTAATGAATTTTTGCACTCAAATCAATCGGTACTGAGATAATTGCATAATTATCGAGATGCAACGGATGGAGTTCTTTGAGTCGCAGGGTGACCTTGACAATGACGTTTTGCTACCGTAATTAGTAATTATTAGTGCAGAACCGTTAGGTGTGGTGTTAATAGAGTGACCTTGGGGTTTAATCCAACGTTGAGCCGGATTCGATCATTATTTTAAGAATCCCTATCTTCACTCTTGAAAATTATTTCGGATTAAAACCTGATCGAGTCAATAATCATTATTTTAGAAAATTATTATAGAAAATTAATGACGCGTAGAAAATTACCGTCACAGACGATTTAATTCAATCCAGACACACTACACAAATAAAACTCTAAAAGATTCCACCCGATTGTCAATTGAAATCGAATCGCATGAATTATCCGAGAGAAAACACATCGACTCTGTTTCCCCTGGCTTTTCGATTAATATCTCTGAATCCCGACGAGCTATCAAAATTCACTATAGAACCTGTTTTCCAGCTCTCATTCTCCCGGAAAAAAAATTCCCTAAAAAAATTTCGCTATCTCCCACCGATCCCGAGATATTTCCGAAAAACCGGAGAAGAAACATTACCGATTTTTTCCGTTCCGAGTTAGACGTTCCTTTCGATTTCCGGTGAATATCTCCGGCACTGGCGGAGATCAAAAAATCTTTATTGAACATTTTTTGTAGGGCAGAATGAGAGCTGCAAAAATGGTTCTACAATATTTTTTTGATTCCCCTTGGATTTCGAAATATTCTCCGATAAGTGAGTGGACTTTTTTGCACTTTGCAAGTGCATTGATTCACGATGACTTAACGATCTGTGACGCACCTGAAAATTCACCTGTCTTGCCCCATCAAGCGAGTCTGACTCAGTAAACCTCATAAAAACCAATATAAAAAATATTAATTTAAAAAAAAAATTATTTTTGATCACGTGATGAATTGCGTTTGCCGTCGTGGAAGTGCGCGTGGCGCCAACACGCCGGTTTTTTCCTCCCCCTTCCCCTCCCCCGTTAAAATAATTTTGCAAGGGATAATTCAATTGAAAAATTGGGAATTTTGAGGATTTTTCATTTATTTGAATAATGGAAAGTCACAGCAACTCCGAATTCACTCCAAAAAATCGGAAATTAATAGAAATTAATTTCCTGGATTATTTTTTTTTTATTATCATTTTTTCATTGTTAAAAATTCATTTGTTATAATTTTTTGGGAATTTGATAGAGGAAATAGTAAAAATTTCGGGTCTCGACTCCAAAAAATCTCCAGAAAAAATCATTTTGGAAAAATTCAATGGAAAAATCTATAAAGAATTGTTGAAAAATGGGAGACAAAATTTTCTATAATAAAAAATTCCCAGCAAATGACAAAATAAATAAATAAATCGTGCACATACCGAGAGACGCCATCTACTCGGTGCATTCAGTCCTCATCTGAAATTTACCGTTCTTCCCTCGTGTGTTCTTTTTCGTGTCTCCATTAAAAAAAAATCTACCTGTTTTCCCCTTCCCCTGGAGTTTAGCCTGCACATTCTCCCAACGAAACCAAAGTTGTGCCCCAGTCTGTCCAGTCTTCCAACGCCAGTCGAATTGCCAAGTTCTAAAATTATAAATTTCTCTTTTCCCTGAAAAAAAAAAAAATGGTGCGAAAGGACAAGCCGAGAAAAGCCCACGACGAGGACCTCCCGGCGAGAGGTCCTGGTGAGTCCCAAAGGAATTTTCCGTAACCCCCGACCCCTGGAGATCAAAATATCTCGATTTTTTTATCACAATTCTCAGATAATGTGGAATTTTTGCAGTGAAATCATTAGCTCCAGAAAATTTTACTGTTTTAATTAATGATTTCAGTAGGATTTCAGGTTTTGTCAATATTTTTTTGTCACTTCTAGAAGATTTTTTTGGCCCCTCCGAATTCTGAATTTTAACATATGGCTGGGGATTCCACGTGGGACAGTCATGTTGCTGGAGTCGTTGAAGTTTCCAGTCGATTATTTAAATCAAAGTGGATTGTTGTTAAAAATGTTTGAGTGTTTTAATTGTGGTTCGAGGATTATTCATTACCGGATGAGTTATTTATTGAGTCATTGAGTTAATTATGCACGTGGAGATGTTTAAATGATAAATTAATGAATTGCAAGGTTTTTCTTTTTTCTCGAATAAAGGGTTTCAACATGTCTGTAATTCACTGACGCTCCACAAGTGCCAGTGATCGTGATCCGTGACGTTTACTCGTATTCTCTGTTGTAACTCCTGGTTATGTACAACTTCTTTGCAATTAAAACCTTGAACTTGGTTTAGACACGTAATGAAACAGCGATGCTTTCCTCGGTTGGCATTGAGGAACTTTTGGACGGGTTTTCTTCCCGATTTTATGTGAGGATTGATAGAACTGGGAAATCGATATCTGTGTGATGATTATTGGAGGAATTGAATTGCAGGTGAAATTGAATATTACATTTGCTGGGACAGAACGAGACAAGGAGTAGTTCAGAAAAATTGGCAAGTCTGGGAGATGGATTTTCATCAGAATAAATTTTACACTTCAAACCACAATATCTCAGAGTTTAGGGGAGATAGCGAAATTTTTATTAGCACTTCATTTGTAGAGCGGAACGTGAATTATTTTTTAGTTCATAAATTATTGTTTGTATTCGCAGTGGCTGCGCTGATATACTGGCGTCAGCCAGAAAAAACAGGAGCTGTTTTTGGGGCGATAATGGGCGTTCTCCTGTCGCTGGCCTATTTCAGTCTGATCAGCGTGTTCTCGTATGTCGCCCTGCTGACCCTCACCGGAACCCTGGGTTTCCGCATCTACAAGACCATTATGCAGGCTGTCCAAAAAACATCGGACGGACATCCATTCAAGTGAGTTAACCCCTTGAGAATTTATAATTGAATGAAAAAACACAAAATCTTGTGAATTCCCGATTAAACTCTTCAAAAATTCGAATAATTCAAGGGTTCAGCCCAGATTTGACTCTCCAATCGAAAAGTAGAGACAAATTTTCTACGGAGAAATCTCTAAGAAATTATATGAAATTTTATTAGAATTCCAGGGATTTTTCATCGAATTTCTCAATTTTTCGTCGTTAATTCGCGATTTTTTTTATCGTCGATGTTAATTGATAATTAATTTCTATTTTGACAGAGACATTCTGGAGGTGGACTTGACCCTACCTGCGGAGAAGGTACACGAAGTTGCTGATGTCTTCGTGGCACATGCCAATGCCGCAGTATCTGAACTCCGCAGACTTTTCCTCATCGAGGATTTCATTGACTCATTAAAATTCGGAGTGTTCCTCTGGTGCATGACTCATGTCGGATCCTGGTTTAATGGAATGACACTTATCATAATTGGTGCGTCAATGAGAAAAATATAAATATTAATTATTCATGTTAATTAATATTATAGGTATTTTTAATGTGTAATTTTGGATTTTAGGAGTCGCAGCGCTCTTCACACTTCCCAAAGTCTACGAGACGAATAAAGCGCAGATCGACCAGAATCTTGCATTAGTGCATGGCAAGATCAACGAGCTCACCGCAAAGTAAGAGAAACTAATTAATTAATCAATAATTATTAAATTAAGTCACACCACTGAACAGAACTAAACTTCTCTTCTCAATCATTGGATTATCTCCTGAACGAAGGGTTTTAGAGGAAAATGTAAAAAAACATTTTTTGTGGAGAATTTTCTGGGCTAAAAAAAATTTCTCTACCATTTTTTTCTGAAATCACTCATTCACGAGATATTCGTTCTAATCAAAACCCTTTATACTCATTAAAATTTTTTTTTGTCATTTTCGTTTTGTTTATTGATTTTGCGCATTGAAAATCGATAAATGACTGAATCTGTATTTTTATCGTTGTCCAGGGTCAAAGCAGCAATTCCCCTCGGCAAAAAGGCAGAGCCTACCAAGGAGGAGTAAATTCCACCCTCAAAAAGAAAAAAAATATTAGAACAAAAAAGCAATGATAATGCAACTGATGGAGATGGGAGAAAACTCAATCATCGTGGGTACTCCTTTTTTTTACAATTAATTAAAGAAATCCCATGAAAGATTTGTTTTGAAGAACTTGAACTGGTGCGAGGTGCCTTTTCACTCACCTCAGCACAAATCAAATTGTATTAACGAAAAAGGAGATCACCCACTGCAAAATCTCTCATGTGAACATAATAAATAAAACCAGAAAGAATTTTAAACTAAGATGAAGTCTCTAGATACTAATTAATTGTCGCGACGTTGAATCATTTTTTCTTGAAGTGCAATGACGTCGCTTCACTCTTCACCTTTTTGTCTTAAAAAAGAAACATAAAACGGAGAAAAAAAATATGGAACTCATGATTTTATTGCTCCAACCCCTGGATATCCATTTATCCCCTTACTCCATAAACAAATGCATTAGCAATTTTAATATACGAAATAATTGAGAGTCTAGTGAAGTGGTGAAGTGACAATTAAGAAATTCTTTTCTAACTTCGGGGGTATCTCGGAGGGTAGTGGGTTTAGAGGAAAATTTTGTACCTTTTTTTTTCTAGAGAATTAAATTTCCTGCAAATAAAGTCATTTCACTTTTTTTTCTACAACGACTCGGCATCGGGATAATTCCGATTTTAATCAGACAAGTCTTTGCAGACATGATTTTTCTCGTTTTCAGTGATGAGTTTGTAATTATCTCAGTAATGAGTGGTTCTATAAAAAAATGTCATACCAACTTTTTTGTAGGAAATAAAATTGTCAAGAAAAAATTTATCGGACATTTTGCTCTAAACGCACGCGTTATCCAACAAATTTCCAAAATGCGAGTGGTGAATTTTGAAAAATAATGATTTCCTGTCACTTCATTACCGAAGTTATGATGATACTTTGAAAAAAATGTTGGATAATCATAAAATGAGTCCCCCAGGTCTGCATTATCACCCCATTATCACCCCGAGAGCTCGTAATCGTAATCAGACGTCACGTTTCCTTTTCTATAAATTGATAATTTAATAAAAGCTGAAGTAAAGCTCTGCCAATTATTGTTGTGAGTGTGCGCCGGAGGAACTTGAAAGTTTGAAATGATCTTAATTAATGAATTAATTAAAGAAAGAGTGAGGCTTTTGGGCATGTGTGTTGCGGCTTTGAGTTGGCGACGAAAAAGCGCTTGAGATATTATTTCTTTCTACACTACTGTTAGGATTTTTGAATAAAAAAAAATGAAAACAAACTACAGATTATCCAGATAAACGTACCATCCCTTCGTGTTTTCTGTTGATGAATATAAATAATACCGAAGATGATGGACAAACATAATAAATATTACGAATCAATATTGCAAGATAAAGTGAAATAAAAAAAAATTATCGTAACTGTCACTCTACTGTAATTACGCATACAAAAGAATAATGATAATTAATTTATAAATAATTAATTTAGCGTACGACGAGGATGGTGAGACAATTGACAAGTTTTTGATGAAAATTTGGAATAATTAAATATCACAAGCTGATACATAATTAACGAATATAATTACTATTATCTCGATGAAAATAAATTCTATCTACATGTTTTTATGGGAGAAGAATCGGGAGACGTAAAAATTATATAATGATATGAAATTGTAATAATATTGATATTGCGTAATGCTTCTTGACGTTTTTCATTATTGCATCGGCATTCGCACGATTTTATTTATAAATAAATGATATTAAATACCACACGACTAAGTAAGACTTTTATTACATCTATTATCTCTTACTCCTGTTGTTATCAGCAGGATTTTTTTTTACTGAAAATTTAATGGGCTACATAAATTTTTTTTTTGATTTTTTTTTCTCAAATCACTCCCTGCCGAGATATTTGAGATATTCATCCTTGAAGGTGAAGGAAGAGTTACAATTTTTTGGATATTATCACAACCGCGAAAAAATCGAAATTTCCTGTGACTATCTTCGCGTAGGTATTCTGAATTCTTATGAAGCGATCTTCCATGTTCGCGTTAGGCGCCAAATGCGAGACATTCTAGGGTTAGGGGTTGCCTTTTCACGCCAACACGTTGTTCTGGAGGTCAATTACTCGATTTTCTATTTTTTACCATATATAGTATCCGTAAACATTCATAAAAATGGTAGGAAGAGTTCCAAAGGGACGGATGTTCGTCTTAAAACGCGGTGAGTATAGAAAATCCCTCTTAAATGGATGATTAATGGATGCCGTGGAAGTTACACCACGTTCTCTAACTCATATGACGATTCCCTCGAAATCAATTTTAATTGATAATTTTGCCAGATGGACGTAAAGAGGAGGTGCACTACGACAAAATTACCTCGAGGATCCAGAAGTTGTGCTACAACCTGGACATGGATTACGTGGATCCTCCAGCAATCACCCTGAAAGTAGTGAGTGGTCTGTACGCTGGTGTGACAACAGTCGAGCTGGACAATCTGGCAGCAGAGATAGCTGCCACGATGACGACCATTCACCCGGACTACGCAATCCTGGCAGCGAGAATAGCAGTGGCTAATCTCCACAAAGAAACGAAGAAGAGTTTCAGCGAGGTAATGAGCGACCTCCACAACGCCACTGATCCCATAACAAAGGAGCACACCCCAATCATCAGCAAACACTACAACGATATTATTCAGAAGCACGCAGTGAAGCTCGACTCGGCGATAATCTACAACAGAGACTTCAGTTACAATTATTTTGGATTCAAGACCCTCGAGAGAAGTTATCTGCTGAAGATCAATGGTAAAGTAGCTGAGAGGCCTGCCCACATGCTGATGAGAGTGGCTGTGGGAATACACGAAGAGGACATCGACAGGGTCATTGAGACATACAACTATCTGTCCGAGAGATACTTCACTCACGCATCACCAACCCTTTTCTCAGCCTGCACTGGTAGACAACAGATGTCCAGCTGTTTTCTCCTGACAATGACTGACGACAGCATTAATGGCATCTACGACACCCTCAAGAGGTGTGCACTCATCAGCAAATCAGCTGGTGGAATTGGAGTGAATGTACACTGTATCAGAGCCAAGGGGACACGAATTGCTGGTACCAATGGTATATCCAATGGGCTTGTACCCATGCTTCGTGTTTACAATAACACAGCACGTTATGTTGATCAGGGTGGAAACAAACGTCCTGGAGCATTTGCCATTTATCTCGAGCCCTGGCACGCTGACATATTCGATGTTCTCGATCTCAAGAAAAACACAGGAAAAGAGGAATATCGAGCACGTGAACTTTTTTACGCACTCTGGATCCCGGATTTATTCATGAAACGTGTTCTGGCGGACGATGTGTGGAGTCTGATGTGCCCCCACGAATGTCCAGGCCTATGTGACACCTGGGGTGAGGAATTCGAGAAGCTCTACACACAGTACGAGGGAGAGGCCCGTTTCAAGCGTCAGGTGAAAGCTCGTGAGCTCTGGACTGCAATTCTTATGTCACAAGTCGAGACTGGAACTCCCTACATGCTGTACAAGGACGCATGCAATAGAAAATCCAATCAGAAGAACTTGGGAACGATAAAATGCAGCAACTTGTGTACTGAGATCGTCGAGTACTCGAGCCCCGATGAAGTTGCTGTTTGCAATTTGGCCTCGATTGCAGTCAACATGTTCGTGGACCCAGTGAAAAAGACTTACAACTTTAACAAGCTGAAGACAGTCGTCAAAATCGTCGCAAGAAATCTCGACAGAGTTATCGATGTCAATTATTACCCAATCGAGGAGGCAAGAGTCTCCAACATGAGACATCGTCCCATGGGAATTGGAGTTCAGGGTCTGGCAGATGCATTTCTACTGATGCGTTATCCATTCGACAGCAATGAGGCCCAGAAACTCAATATCCAGATCTTCGAGACCCTGTATTATGGTGCCCTCGAGGCCTCATGCGAGCTCGCCCAGGAGAAGGGCACCTACGAGACGTACAAAGGCTCACCAGTCAGCCAGGGCATCCTCCAGTATGACATGTGGGGTGTAACACCAACAAATCTCTGGGACTGGGCTGAACTCAAGGATAAAATATCTAAACACGGTATTAGGAACTCTCTCCTACTGGCACCAATGCCAACAGCCTCAACAGCCCAAATTCTGGGTAACAACGAGGCCATTGAGCCTTACACCAGCAACATCTACGCGAGGCGTGTACTGTCTGGTGAATTCCAAGTAGTCAATCCCCATCTGCTGAAGGACCTCACCGAGCGTGATCTCTGGGACGACGACATGAAGAACCAGATAATAGCGAGCAATGGCTCGATCCAGAACATCGACAACATCCCAGCAGACCTCAAGGCACTGTACAGAACAGTCTGGGAAATTCCCCAGAGGATGATCCTCAAGATGGCTGCTGATCGTGGGGCCTTCATCGACCAGTCCCAGTCCACCAATGTTCATATGGCAAATCCAACTCCCGAGAAGCTCACATCCATGCATTTCTTCGGATGGGAGTCTGGCCTGAAGACTGGAATGTACTACCTCAGAACAAAACCAGCCACCAATGCCATTCAATTCACCGTTGACAAGAGCAAGCTCAAGGCGTCTCAGGGTGTCAATGGAGCTGACAGCACTGTCAACCGATCTTTCAATGGCTCCATGAATACTTCAGTAGTGGAGGAGGACCCTGTCCTCGTCTGCTCCAGGGAGAATGGCGATGCCTGCATGGCTTGCAGTGGATAGCCCATCAATTCTCATTCTATACGATAGCATCCTATTTTTTTTTCGCGAATTTACATTAATCATGTCATGCATCATTCCTATCTCTTCATCAATTATTGTATTTGTAGATAATTATTTTAATAATCGATCAAATCCATTTGCCGATTGAATATTTTCACAATCAATAATAAGTATAAATTTTGATAAATTGTAATTATTTTATAATCGGTAATCTGAAAATAAATGGCAAATCACTCGAAATATTGTTTAAAAACTGAATATTTCATAATCGAACAGATATGCAATGAAATTGAACAATTTGACATTTTTAAAAACGAAACTTTTTCAATATATATACTACTAATGAAATTTTATTATTGTAATAGCGCGTTGGCCTAGCGGTAACGTGCTTGCCTACCACGCCAATGTTCCGGGTTCGATTCCGGCATCATTCAATTTTTTTTTTTTCATAATAATTCCAATTTTTTTTTTGTTAATGGCAAATCAATCGAATTATTGTTTAAAAACTGAATACCTACTCGATTGTCATGTTCCCCTGATACTTTTACAAAAATTTCGGATTTTTCACTTGCAGTGAAAATTTCAGTGAATAGCTCCTTGATTGTTATGTTCCCCTGATACTTTTATAAAAATTCCGAATTTTTCACCTTCAGTGAAAATTTCAGTGAATAGCTCTTCGATTGTCATGTGCTCCTGATACTTTGGCAAAAATTTCGAATTTTTCACTTTCAGTGAAAATTTCAGTGAAGAGCTCTTCGATTGTCATGTTCTCCTGATACTTTTATAAAAATTCCGAATTTTTCACCTTCAGTGAAAATTTCAGTGAATAGCTCTTCGATTGTCATGTTCTCCTGATACTTTTTCAAGAATTTCGAATTTTTCACTTTCAGTGAAAATTTCAGTGAATAGCTCCTCGATGTTCATGTTATCCTGATACTTTTTCAAAAATTTCGAATTTTTCAATTGCAGTGAATACCTACCTAAAGGAAAAATTGGAATTATTTAAAAAAAAAAATGAATGATGGCGGGATCGAACCCGGGCCGTCGGCGTGCTAGCCGAGCACGTTACCACTAGGATAACGAACTATTAGAATATTATAATTTTATTAGGAGTATATATTTTGCAAAAGTATTGTTTTAAAAAATTGCTAATTGTTCAATTTCATTGCATATCTCCTCGATTATTAAATATTCAGTTTTTAAACAATATTTCGAATGATTTGCCATTAACAAAAAAAAAAAATTGGAATTATTTAAATAAAAAAAAAAATGAATGATGCCGGGATTGAACCCGGGCCGCCGGCGTGCCAGTCGAGGACGTTACCACTAGGACAACGCTCTCATTTAAAATAATAATTTCATTAGTGGTATATATTCAATAGATTGAATAATTTTTTCCATTGAAATTCCACAAGATGTGGTTTCCCCCTTCCGTACGTGCTACAGTCGGCTAAATTACAGTTAAACAAATGAAAAACAAAAAGTATTCGTACAGCAGAAAATAAAATTCACCCCGTCGACTTGATGGACACCCCAGCATTGCGTGTTGCGCCCTCCCTCTCTTGGGGTGCAATACTCTATTTTAGTCAATCCGCTTTGATGATAACGTTGATTGGATCATGCGCAGATTGAGTGGAGGAGATAATTTTTCTACTGTATCGACTGCTCTGAGTTTTGCTTTCTTGTGAGCGCCTCAATAAATTTTTCCTCCACCACGATGAAGAGCTGATCGTATCAGTGAGTCAACAGGATAAGACAGGGATGGAAATATGTGAGATATGAGCAGCCACAGGCCAGAGGTATATATCCGTCTGAGTTTTCCTGGTATAAGAAAAGAGACAAATCAGTGGCCAATACGTGTATTATTTTTTATCCATCACAGATGTGTCACTGATAACTGGTGTTCAGAGTGATATTTTATCTGGAATATTCTGATTGTCGAGGGCATCATGGAGTGACAATATGTCCCAGGGGTTTGAGGATTTTCCAGGGAAATCCAACAGTTGGTGCTTGCAGGGAGATAATTTCATTGGCGAAGGGCAGGAGAGAGTTTATGATGCCGTTGGCTAATCAGACACTCCCCTGGAATCAGCAGAATGTGATTGAGAAGGTAAGGGGTGGAAAGGGACACCCTTATGACTTCCAGCATCAGATCCACGAATAATCAATTTTAAATGGAGAATTTTTGGACTTCACACTCGGAATAATCCAGAAGTACTCAAGATCCGGGTGATTTTTATTATAATTCAAGGTCTTGCGTGACAATGAGATATTAATCACACAATTTCCACTCATCAATACCTAGTTGGCGCCATCAATCGAATTAATAATTAAATTCACGTAATCTTGACAGCTGGAATTTTTTTTCTGTCAATTTTTAAAATGGATTTCTTCTCAGGATTTATTTATTTATCCATTCGTTTGGTTATTTTGTAAATAAAAATGCGATTTCGTTGCATGAATGACTGACAGATGTTTTTTATCCCCAGGTATCCCCTGAAATCCTGGCAGCCGAGAATCAAGAGACAATGAGTGCCCCAGGTGGTGTTTTTCCCGACTCCAATTCAAACGGTCACGTTGAGTCCCACGAGATTGAGGTGCGCGAAGTGGTACGTCATGGCCACGAAAAAGCTGATCCAAGTCACTTCGAGCTGCTGAAAGTGCTGGGTCAGGGTTCATTCGGCAAAGTCTTCCTGGTTCGTAAAATCGTTGGTAGAGACAAGGGTACACTGTACGCAATGAAAGTCTTGAGAAAAGCCACATTAAAAGTCCGAGATCGAGTCAGAACAAAAATGGAGAGAAATATTCTTGTTGATGTTGAGCATCCCTTTATCGTTCGGCTGCACTACGCCTTCCAGACCGAGGGTAAACTCTATCTTATCCTGGATTTTTTGAGAGGCGGTGATTTATTCTCACGATTATCCAAAGAGGTGATGTTCACCGAGGAGGATGTAAAATTTTATCTGGCAGAGCTGGCACTTGCCCTGGATCACATCCACAACTTGGGAATAATCTACAGAGACCTCAAGCCTGAGAATATTCTCCTTGATTCCAATGGTCACATGTCCCTCACTGATTTTGGCCTGAGCAAGCAGCCCCTGGACGACACAAAGACATATTCATTCTGCGGTACAGTGGAGTACATGGCTCCCGAGGTTGTCAATCGTCAAGGCCACTCTTTTGCTGCTGACTGGTGGAGCTTTGGTGTTCTCATGTTCGAGATGCTGACCGGTGCCCTCCCCTTCCAGGGTGCCACTCGCAAAGAGACAATGACCCAAATTCTCAAAGCAAAACTTGGAATGCCCTACAACATATCACCAGAGGCTCAGTCCCTCCTGCGAGTCTTCTTCAAAAGAAATCCAGCAAATAGACTTGGATCAAAAGGAGTGGATGAGATCAAGAATCACGCGTTCTTCGCTTCAATCGACTGGCAGGCACTTTACCAGAAGAAGGTGAAGCCACCGTTTAAGCCTGCTGTCAGCGAGGAGGACGATGCTTTCTACTTTGACAGTGAATTCACCTGCAAAACTCCTAGGGACTCCCCAGGATTGCCTCCCAGTGCCACAGCTCACGAACTCTTCCGTGGCTTTTCATTCATAGCTCCAGGCCTCTTGGAAGACCACTCCAAAGCACCAGACTTGAGAAATATCGAGAGTATCTCACAGGTTTTTCCAACACACGTAAATCCCGCGCCCATCAGAGAGGAGTACGAATTCAAAGAGGAAATTGGTAAAGGAAGCTACAGTACGGTGTACCGAGCAGTGCACAAACCGACAAAACAGGAATACGCGATAAAAGTCATTGAGAAATCAAAAAGAGATCCAACAGAGGAGATTGAGATCCTTCTGAGATACGGTAGACACCCCCACATCGTCACTCTGCGTTCAGTCCACGAGGACGAGCGCAGGGTGTACCTCATTCTGGAGTTGTTAAAGGGTGGAGAACTCCTAGATCGTCTCATGGAGAGGAGAAACTTCACCGAGAGAGAGGCTGCAGAGGTGACATACACGATAGCAAGTGTCGTAAATTATCTTCACGAAAATGGAGTGGTGCACAGAGACCTCAAACCCTCGAATATTCTCTACTCTAAGCCCGGAGGTGATCCCACTGGTCTGTGCATCTGTGACCTGGGTTTTGCCAAACAGCTGAGAGCTGAGAATGGCCTCCTGATGACACCCTGCTACACAGCTAATTTCGTAGCACCTGAGGTGCTCAAGAGACAGGGATACGATGCAGCCTGTGATATCTGGTCACTCGGTGTTCTCCTTTATATAATGCTCGCTGGTTATACACCATTTCCCAACAGTCCTGGTGACAGTGCCAGCGATATTCTCAATCGCATTGGACCTGGCTATGTCGATCTTGACACTGGAGTGTGGGGATGTATCTCTGGTGATGCCAAGGAACTCGTCAGGAGAATGCTACACATCGATCCTCATAGGAGGCCTACTGCTGCTGGAATACTCAGGAGTAACTGGATCACCACCAGGAATAATCTCAGTCAGAAAGCTCTGCCTGGTGTTGGACGTGATCCTCATAGTCTGAAGAGTGCTGTTGCTGCAACGTATAAAGCCATGTCGAATAGTCCAGGAATGCCCCACATCGGTCCGGTTGTTATGTCCGATCTGGCGAGACGACGGGTCCTGGCAAAACCCACTGGAGTAACAAAATTGTAAACAGCAAGTAGATATCGGAAATTCTCGTAATATATCGCCATTCGATCAACAGGATAACATCGACCGACAGTGCCCAAATAATAATGAGTGATCCATGTCGTCCACTGGTGCCAATGTCAACTCGAGACTCTTAATTTGCCAGTATTTTAATGAATAATCAGTCTCAGTTCGATTGATCAGTTAGTTAAGTAGACACATTCCAAATGTTTTTAAATGATCACGTAGAAATTGAAGTAGCTGTTATTTAAGTCCTCTATTTACCAAAGTGACTGAGGATTACGAAGATTGATGAGTAATTATCACTAATTAAATTTAAAAAAAACAGCACAAAATGTTCATTGATTCGTGCAATGTGATGGTATTTTTTTGAAATCTCTTAAAAATCATTAGATGTTCGATAAAAAAGTGTTTTATATAGATTATAAGGAGAAATAATTGTTGTTGATGTATGACGGATTTTAAGGGAGACAGAAATTTTATTCTAAAAATACAATATTATATTAATTGAATTATCGATAAGATCTTCCAGTAGTTATTGGATTGACGGCACTAATTCGATGTTGATGAGGAAAAATTGTCTTTCATACACACATACCTCGTTAGCTTCATACACATGGCCTTGAATTTTTTATGATATTCTGTAGCTTTTTTGGGATAATTGTCGAACGTTCTTAGTGTTTTGTACATTGTCTCGGTGTCTGTCAGAAATTTATTGGGAGTTCTCTGGATTGTTTATTCATATTTATCGATGGACCTCGAGATGGCAGGGGAATTACGATGAGAATTGTTGAATTATATCACCGATACTCCCAGAAAGTACTTTTAATCTCATTGTCACGTCTATTGCCATAATTGCAGGAATTATTTCAATATAATATGTTCAAACGATCATTTAATATTTCTCCGTCAGCGCTTACAAAGATGAATTTATTCAATTACCTGTAATGTGAGAAAAAAAACATGAAAATATATACTTAATATTGTCTAATGAGAACAGCCAATTTATTCCGCAATCGATCCGAATCGATCTAAATCGATAATTAATTTTTTTAATGTCCTCTGGAATTTTTATCTAGTTCAAAATAAATTACGTCATTATTCAAAATTCCTCCTGGCACCTGCGCAGATCGACACTTCCTTCTCTGTCCTCCCGATTTCCTGTCTCTATTTATTAGCGGGACAGTCAATCTTCGTTACATTTTCTCCTGGCCAGGAATATTATTCGTTGTAACCAGTGAATCCCTTCGATCCTCAAAAATCCAAATAAAACATCAAATAAATATCAGGTAAGAAAAATCCAGCATTTGAATGGCTAAAAAAAAAATCTCCAATTCTTGGAGTCACGATATTTCCATCAGTCTCCATCGTCATCAGGATCTCCAGGAAATTCTGACGATTCACAACTCCCTACGACGAATTGTGCGCGTAATTGTCACAAATGTCAGAATGGAATTGTCTCCCTATGAGAATTGAATATCTTTTTTTTTTCTCGTCGATTCATTATATAGAAATGGCTGTTCACGTTCTGTCAAGCCACCTTAACCAATATTTCTCAGTTCGATGAGGTATCGATGGAGTGATTGGACCTGGGGATTAATACCTGGATGACGTTTCAGTGGAGATTATTGTTGGCACGTGCCATTCGAGAAATGGTGTACACGAGGGACTCTAGGTCATTGAGGTTAGGTAGGCGCCGGCAGCTTTATTAATTGATTGGATAATTAACGGAGTTCACTTGATGATTTTTTAACTAACAGAATGTTCTTCCTCGATTATGAGCCATCAATTTCCCCACTGATTCCCTAGAAATTCTCCAGAATATTATGAAACTCCCTCGTAAATAATGATAAGTGCTTGGACTCGATTAATCGTATTAAATATTTTCACCAGTAAATATCTCGGGATCTGGGAGAGATTCAGATATTTGAGTGATTACCTTTTTTGCAGCTATAATTTCGATCTTCAAAAAATGTTTAAAGCAAAATTTCGCTATCTATCTCAGATCCAGAGATATTTTTTGATATCTCAGGGAACGTGAAATTTCCCTCGTGGGATTGTAATCGATGAAATTATTTTCCTAGGATTTTCCACGATGCTCCACAAAGGCCCCCGCCCTCTGGTGCTCTGTGGGCCCTCTGGAAGCGGAAAGAGCACCCTGATTAAACGAATGTTCGAGGAGTTCCCGGAGACCTTTGGATTCTCCATCTCTCACACCACCAGGCAGCCCAGGGCTGGAGAAGAGCACGGAAAGCACTACTATTTCACGGCCAAAGAGAAAATGCAGGACCAGATAGACAGGGGAGAGTTCATCGAAAATGCAGAGTTCAGTAATAACATGTATGGCACCAGTAAAAAGGCTGTCGAGGATGTCATTGCTGCTGGAAAAATTTGTGTTCTGGATATCGAAATTCAGGGGGTCAAGCAGATCAAGAACACCTCGTTGAATCCTCTCCTGGTGTTCATCAAACCTCCGTCCATGGAAGAACTCGAGAAACGTCTGTTGGCGAGAAAAACTGAGACAGACGAGTCCTTGAAACGAAGACTGGCTATTGCCGGAGAAGAAATCAAATTTGGTGAGAATTTTATCAGCAGAATCTTTGGGTTGCTTCTGTGGTCATTCGGGAACAGGAGTAATTAGAATTAATTAATTTTTTTATTCGTCTTCTAGGTGAAGAACCTGGCAATTTTCATCGCATAATCGTCAACGATGACGTCGACAAGGCGTACGCCGAATTGCGGGAGTTTATCCTCGAGGAAGTGAAACGATTTGGTAAGAATGGAAGTTAGAACCACTGCATGACGCTGGGAATCATTGAAGCATTTATTTCAAGCGTTTACAGAAATTTTTAGTTGTAGACTTGAGTCCGGAGAATCATGAAACTATTTAAAAGAGACAGCAGAATTTTTGAGATAATTTAATTTAAGGATTAAACTTGTTCAGATTATTTTATTTTCGTATAATTTTTGGTTTAGATCTTGGGGGTGAGAATTTCGCATATTGTATGTATTCTTATTGTTCTTGATTAAATATTCATTTATATTGAAAATTTTTACTCCAGTTTTTTTTTCTGGATTCCGTGACGCAGGGTAGAGCAATCTAATTAATTCAGTTCGTCGTGTTAGAGGGTAAAACTGAGATTATTCACCAAATAAAGTTGTGTTCCAATAGATATAGGTTCGATGATAAGTAATTGCATTAAGAGTATTTAAATCATTGAAAACATTTTTTTTTTTGGGGAAATTCCGAACCCTGTCGATTTTTATTCTGTTTTTTTATCCATAAAAAAATAGTTTGTCTATCAATTCAAATTGGATACGATGCAGATGATTTTTTTTTACTTGAAATTCGATTTCTTTTTACTGAAATGAGAATACGAAATTTTCAACTGAAACAAATAATATTTAGAGTCCAATGCCCCGATTGATTGCCTTTTGGAATTATTTCAACGATTGATGTAGTGTTAATAGATTATTAATTAGTGGATTAAGGGAAGGCCTCGGTTTTCAACCCGAAATCTCAATTTCCCTAGGTATTGAACACTGGGTGTAAATAGAGCGCGTGAATTAGTACCTTAAATTATATGAATTCATAATTAAATTCAACGAGGCCTCCTGTAGAGAAATTAATATAAATTATGTATAGAGTGTAAAGTGTTTTATTGTTAATCTTGAATTAATGTAAGAAAAATGTTCAACGAGTTGAATGTAATAAACAATTATTCGGAATTATTCATTTCTTTGAATATTTGAAATAAACAATAAAAATTATTTATCAGTCTCCAAATTGTGTCGTAAAATTTCGCCGTGATGGTGTCGAACTTTATGAGGTTTTCCGCTGACCTCAATGGCGTCGACCTGGGGCACCTCATCATCCCTGGTGACGAGGTAGTTGATGACTTGCGGTCGGGATTTAAAAATATTCTCCCCCTCGGGCACGTCTTTATGATAAAATTGGGGGATAACTTGCCTCGGGGCGATTCTCTCGTTTCTGATTGCGTCAATCAGCATCTTGAGAATGGCCTCTAAATCGGTGTGTGGCGTCTGCTCTCGGCGGTATTGATTGACGTACACCGGGGGTGATTCCCTCCAGGGTGCATTATTATCTTTGAGGGGATCGTTGTCGACTGGGTAAGGGGTTTGATAAGTTTTTTCCAAGGGTTGAGCATCGTCCGGATAATAAGCCTCGTACGTGACTGGACCATTACTCAGATCGTAACCGCTCCTGGAACCATTGGAGATGATTGTCTAGTTGATGACTTTCATGGGACTGTCAAAACACTTGCTCTTTCACTAAATTAATCTTCAATTCCAGAAGATAAATATTTTTCCACAAATTCATTCCCCCAATTCCCCCTAATTGACCAATTAATTAAATACATATTAATCAATTAATTAAATACATAAACCAATTATCGCCATTATAAAATTCTTACTCTAATTTGATTTAACTTTTTCCCAAAGTCGGGAAAACCTGGGAAAATTGGGGATTTGAGATAAATTTTATATTTTCTGCTAAATTTGACTGAAAAAAAATTTTTAATTGCAATAATTCGGATGAAATACAAATAAATAAATGAATTAATGAGATGAAGACTCGAAGACTCGAGTGAAATTTATTATTGAGTACTTGATAATCTCACCTGCCTTGAAGAGTTCTCCCGAGGGCTTCATTCCCTGAAACATCACGTCAATAATAAAAAAAATTCGCTAAACTCTGGGACAAACTCACCCACAAGGAGAATTGATAAAGCAACGAGAAAGCTTCGTCGAGGAGTCATTTTCAACTTGCTGCTGGTTAAAACGCTCACATGCAACTGCATACCTCTGGGAAATCCACACATCTGGGAGGTTTCAGTGTATTTTCAGACTCAGACCAAAATAAATCCCTCGTTCACCCGATGCATTCCAGTTCACTCCATGGATTCAATCTCAGAGAGCTTAACTCATGATGCAATCAAACCCATCACTGATTTTCATATTTGAGTTTCGACTGAGTTGATTTGCCAGAATGTATTTGCTGGAACTGATTAACAAATCAGTCAAGCGATAAAGACTTCAACTCGATGCACCTTCCGGCTGAGTTTTCTCCGAATCCCAGGCAGATGTGAATTTTTTTGTAATCACCTTTTTTATTGAGCGAGTCAAGGGCTGTGAAAAAGGTGATGATAAAAATTTCGATATCTCTGTTAGATTTGCAGATATTTAAGGAAACGTTGATAATAAAAAATTGTTACTTCTGACTTTGAGAAATCGATGAAAAATCAATGAAAAATTAATAAAAATCATAGATTATTGTTCGATAAGCCCCTGAAAATAAATATAAACCCTGAAAATTAATATAAATAACAATATGCATATTTAAAATTCATTTGCTAAAATAAATAGAGCGATTCCTGATGGTCCGAATCTAATCTAGTGGATAAACCGATTTTCTGTCAGACTTAATGATTTCTTTAATAATCCAGGGATTACTCCAAAAAAAGATGGAATAATGTGGGAAAAAAAAAACGATAAAGGGTCGCTGTCAATCCGATTTTTCGACGTAAGCATCTCTTAATTAAATGGTCTCTATACGACGGAAAAGAAGGGAAAACGAGGGAAAACAGGGGAAAGACCCTAGAAGAGGATTTTCCTCGAGCTATACGACAGGTTTTCCTTCGTTAGAGGAATCCCATCTGCCGACTGCCTCTCAAATCCCCATAGTTCTCCCACATTAATGGGGAGTGGCCCAATTATCCCACAATTACTGCGCAAACACTTGCATGGTTTTATGTCAATAGCAATTTTCGTGTACGAGGTGATTCTCATTGGGTAACGAGTGAAATTCGGGGCTGCGGTATTCACCCAGAATTTTCCGGAGTCAAGCTCGAGTCGAAGTCGAAGGAAATAATCCATTAAAAATTACCTGACATATAAAAATATATAAAATAAAAATGTAATTGATCATTTAAAATATTTTTTTAGAGTAGATCATTATTGACAAATTATTATTGTAAATCAATATTTATTTTTTTCAATTATAATTGAATTTTTAATTAATATTTGATTCGAAATGGGAAGGCGCGAATAAAGAAAGGAATTTTATTAAGTCGTAAGTATTTCTTTGAAATGAGATAAAAAAATGGTTATTTCCATGAAATCCTCGACTGGCTGATGTATGGGTGGGAAAAATGTGAGTAGAAGATTTTTCAATGGCTCGAGGAAGTTGAAAATGTAATAACTGAAAGCTGCGCCAAAATGCTACCATAAAATGCGACCATTTTACTTTACCAAATAGTCTGGAATAGGTTCACTCGAGGCATTCAACGAGACTCAGTGCATACCTCTTCCTCCATCATGTTTTTATTGCCAGTGCATTTACCACTTATCAACTGAACCGCGGTAAATTGTTGGTCTTGCCAACATTTATCAATATCTACGCCAGTGGATTTTTATCAGAACCATTCGAGAAATTTTATATCATAAATTGAATATTTTTATTCAACTTCATCTCGATCAGGCATCGAGTTATCTGTAAATATGGGAACATCGGTAAACAGTCGTCTACGATTTTATTAAACCATCGACATCAGTGAGATATGGAAAATAAACCGAATGAATTTCTATTTGTTTATTAATATTTTTGCAACGGGAAAATAAATCGCAGAATTTTTCGTATCGAGAGCAAATTCAATTGAGAGACTTCAACTCGAATTAAATTAATAAATGGTAGAACTATGTATTATTATTTATTTATTAATGGGAATTTGTTGACTGGAAATTTTAATTGAAAATCAATAAGTATTGACTGTTGAAATTTTAATCAAAATAAAATTTTATAACTGGATAGCAGAAAAATTGAGTTCGGCATTCCGCCATTTTGTCGGCATTTCAAGATTAAAAATGGCGGAAAATTGCGATTGCTTGCGCACATCCGGGATCTACTAATTATTATTAAATCAATTAGAGAAATTTTTTGGTACGGATTTGAATTGTTTTTTATGACACAAAAAAAAATTATTTAAAATTCAATTTGGGTGATGAAAAAGTAATTGATAAATAATTGATGGAAGGAAGGTATAATTACAAGAGTCGGATTGGCAAGGGAAATTCAATCGACGAATTGTCCCGCAACATCAGTATGCAAATAATTACTGTAATGAGGCAATTCCCATGCAGAAATGTTCCTTCCGAACGTAGGAATTTTTAATTCAGTTTCGATGGAGGCAATCGATTCGATATAACCGGAAATTCCCTCGAGACATCGAAGTATTCAGCTATTTTCTTTCTTTCATTCCAATATTCCAAGCAATTGCAGATCAAAGCACTCGTCCATTTTATTCATTCAATATTTTTCAATTTGATGTGCATTCATCGCAACCTTTACAATTTTTTCCTATTTTCCAGTCTAAAATAATGGAATATAAATAAATATAATGCAGACGATAAAATAAAAAAAGAGAGAAATTCAAATAATGAGGATAGTGAGATTAATTGAATTATTATAATAATTAAAATGTTCCAGGAGATCAAGATCAATTCTGATGGGCGCCAATTAGTCGGATATTTAATGAACGAATTCAAATTGATTCCCATTACCCATCCCTTCCGCGATTGAAAAATTTCCATTAATCGCTCTTCAATAATTGCTAAGAACTAATGACCCTCTCAAAGTGGAGAAAATTTTAACGATCGATGCGCGTAATACAACGCTAACTCAAAGTCCGGACATTGATTCTTCCGGATGGTGAATTCGCCTGTTCCTGGAGGGAAACAAAGGAGAAATCACTGGAGGCACTGGAGCAGAACTCTCCAGCCCCACGTCTTTTTTTTTTCCATTATATTTTTTACAATATTCCCTGAGTTGTTTTGCCGATGCCTGGAAAATTCCACTCCCCTCCGTTTCAGAGTTGAAACAGTTGTAAAAATAGAGAAGCGTTGGAAAATGTAGGGAAAATGGAGGTAAATTTTCCGACGTTCATGGGAATTGATGCAGCCGAGGGTTTACGTGAGAGCTGAACTGCTGATGATAGGTGCCCCCGGATGACGGATAGCTCCAGCTTTTTACGCTAATTTATTTATTCATTTATTTATAACTTTTCTGTGTTTTCTATGATGACTGGAAATTTCACTTTCATGTCACCGATGTCCTGAAGACATCGAGAAGACCTGCATTCGCCCTTATCAACTTCCCCTGGGCCTTACCGAGACCTCCACACGACCTCCGCGACCTCGTGGGCCTTCCTCTGGGCCTGAGAGATGGTTATCGAATTTTATTATTTGGAACTCGGGGCCTTATCTCCATCTTAGGAGGTGAAAAATTAATATCAGTGGATAAAAATGAATAATTCCATGAGGAGTTCCACAATCTCGAATAAGACGCGGAATAACACAAAATGGCTATTCCAGGGGCGGACATCTCCATCACTTCCTGTTTTCACTTGACGGGGTCAGCATAATCCACGTCATCCAGAGGTATTTACACTATCAGTGAGCTTCACTACCAGCTGGGGACCCAGAAATAAAGATATCACAAGTTATCATGCAAATACCACGAAAATGGAGCCCAAGATGCTCCTCACTCAGGTCGTCTTGTGGGAAATTTATTCCCGTATATTAACGGTCCGCGTTTCATGCTAATGACGGTATGCAAAACTCGGATGATTCTCTTCACACGATAATCCAGTTTGCTCTCCATTTCTCAAGGACACGAGGGCAATAGAACGTAATGACATCTCACACTCATTTTTTTTCCTTTCCATTCTCTCGATTTTTCAATTAATTCTGTCAGACTAAAAAAATTCCTGATTCTCATTTTTTCGTTGTGTTAATTATAATAAATAATGAGTAATTATAAATTTCAAATGGTGTGTCGCACAGTAGCGCGAATTTTTTTAGACTCGCGAACCTATTTTTTTCAAACAATTCGTCAATTTGTTTATTTTACAATTCCAATGACGTTGAATGCCTCTGGGTAAATATCGAGTGACTCTCGACGGGGAAGTTGTTATTCTGCAATTACCAGAGGGTATGAGACCCCGATATAAGAGATTTAGTCGGAAATCCCCTGTCTGGAATCAATACTCCCGCGGGTGACGACGGAATCACGCGTCCTGAGAGTAAAAAGATCGTAATTGCTACTGGAATACCACTTAAATCGTATTAAACAACTGCGTCGACCGAGGAAAGGAGTACGTGAGGTGAATTGCCCTCGAGGATATTGACTCCACTCCCCGTGCACCAGGTCTCAAGTCCTTCTGGGAATTCATGATTTTGTAATCCCCAATTTCTCTCCAAAAAAGTGACTTTTGTCAACACCCTATTACGTCAAGAATAAATAAATAATAATTATTAATTTCTGCATTTAATTTAATCCATAAATAATTGAATCCGCCAATTAGACACTCGCGGCAATCTGAAAAAATGGCATTGCTCATTTTATTTGATAAATAATTTATTTTTATTCACGTAATTAAATGAAATAAATGAAATATTGAATTATGATATTTTAATTGAAATTCTATCAATGTGAAAATACCAATTATCAATGATATATTGATTCGTTAATTAATTACTATTTTTCCCATTGATTTATTTCTATTTTTTCCACCCGTTCACTCAATAATTTTTTTTTTCAATCATAGAGTAATACAATCCGATATATTCGATTCAGTTTTCAATTTCGGAATATCTAAAAATATTCATGGAATTAATAAACTCCACACATGCCTCCCAGATTTAATAAAATCGGGGAAAAAAGTGGGAGAGGGTGAGCATTTTTTTCCGGGAAATTCAATATCTTTCGTGAGGAATGATAAATTCGGGGAGAATGACGGGAAGAAACAATATTCGGGATGATTGTACGTATCGATCTCAAAAATTCCTTTCCTCGGAAACCTGAGGAGGAATAATCCTTGTAATACCCAGGGGAAATGGTTACTGGTGGAGTTGTTATAGTGGTCAGAGAGCTCTCCCAAGTGTTAAATATCCCAGGAGATATTGTCTGAACCCATTTGTATTTGCAAATCCAATGCATACAGAGTCTCTGGTTTCGGGTTTTTATTCGATCTCAATATCAGTAAAATGAATGAAGATATCATTTTCATTAACCGATTTCAATAATATCTTGATATAAAATTAATTAGGAATAATGGAAATTATTTGTTGGATGGGAGTAGAAAAAAATGAACGAACGCGAAGGAAATTTTGTGCTGGAAATTCTCAGCTAAATGACGGAAAATTCTCGAAGATGACTTAAAAAATTGTTCACTTTTTGCGATAAATAATTTTATTTGTTTAAATTATTATGGTTGAATTATTAATAAAATTGTTTAAGGTAATTGAGCGTTGGAATTTGCCCTCCATTCCTTCATCGAGAAGCATCTGGAAAAATGATGTGCAAGAAGGGCCGACGATATTAAAAACTTCATCACTTGATTTTGAAAAAAAAAAATAACATCACTATCTGGTAAAAAGATTATCTCTCACTTTCACTGTCGACACTCTTCATCTATCACCCGGGACATGTGCAGAGTTGATTACCCTGCGCTGAGAATATGCCCCGAATTTTCTCGGAAATTTTCACTATCGGGAAATTTGATGAATTTTTTGTTTTTTTAATTCAAATTTTTCAAAAATTTAAATCAGTCGATTAAATAATTAAATTGATGAACCAGTGGAGAATATTTCCGAAAATCGACGGCAATCAACGGAATTTCTCGGAAAATTCAACGGAAAATCTCCCCTGTATTTTCCTGGTGGACTAATCCTCATCCCCGGGAATTCTAATTCTGTCTAAGATATTTACCCGAAAATCCTCTTGATCCCCCAGTTCAGTCAGAGAATCAGAACGGAGAGAAAATTCTTGGATAATTACTGGGAAAAACGAAATAATTTTCCTCGAAATCCGGGGAAAAGCGCGCGATTGTTCCGGAATTTTTTCTCGAAATATTTATCACAGCGGATGGAAAAATGTGAAATTGATTGAATATTGGTTTAAACAACGAATTTTCACCAACGGAAAATTCCGCAATTCGATTTATCGAGGCCTAATGGAGTCTCCCCTGAAAATAGTCTGGAACAATTTTCTCGCGTTAAAGCCGGCGCCGGAAAATCCATTAAAACAATAAAAAAATGTTGACATTATTTATCAATATTTTCCCTAAAACATGAGTGACAATTAATGAATAATTAATATCTGTACCACCAGTAAATTTCATTGCCTAAAATAATAAATAAAAATTATGGACTAATAAAATCGGTGAAAAATGGAGTTTCACAGAGAATAAATTTACTAGCTAGTGATAATGTATCTTTGAAATATAAAATGGCGAATTTCGCAGTGGAAAGAAAAGAAATGGAGGAATCGGAAACCAATGGACCCCGGGGGTGCATTGTAATCCACTGGTAGAATACTAAAATAACCGAAATATCTGGAGTAATCGAACTAGCTTGAGGGCAATAACAAGTACAACATATACATTTGACGATAAACCCAGTCACTTTAATTCTTCCTGCTGTCCGGTTTTCGTACGTTTTATCGGAAAATATTTCGCATAAAGTGGAAATGAAGGGGAACTGATAGTTAATCACATTTTAGGGGAAAGAAATTTTTATTTGCTGGACAGCAGTTGATATTGCCGTTCAGAGTCATCAACTCCGGGATATGTCATGTCCTGGACATGTGAGAACCACTAGTATTTCATAAAACCATTTATCGAACTCTTTAAATCCGTTTATTCTCTTTTATGTCATCTTTATTTGCTCGACTCGAGGTACTTTTATTGTTGTAAATCAGAATTTTTTATTTATGTCGCTGAATAATATTTTTTCTGCCGGATATTTGTGGAGAGCTTGAGAAAACAGAGAGGAAAATGCTCCCTATGAATTTTCATAATTTTCCATGAAATTGAAAATTGTAAACATGATTTTCTAAAAAAAAATTTGAATAAAAAAATTCTTTCTCATTTCCCCGGAATTTTCCACGTCAAGTGCAATTGAGAAAATTTATTTTTCCAAGAGTTTTTACGACGAAAGCTCTAAAAAAATGGCGTGAAAAAATATTCTGGTGAATAATTGAATTCACTCTTTGGCGTGATATTTCATCAGGAGCTGTCGGGACTCCGCGCAGGTTTCTGATGTGGTGGGGTGGGTTATCACCACCAGTCGCGAGGAACTGCGAGGAAATTGTTGGTCAGTTGCACCGGGTCGTCGTGCGATGATCGAACTTCTCCGGGGTGTGAATGTCGAGTGATAAATCCGTGATAACCTGTTGAGTGCACATAAATTACCCCATCCCAGGAGCTATGGACTTCCTCCCAGAGGGTAAACATTCCATAATAATTAATAAAAATTAATTTTTTTTTCAAATTATTCATCGAAATATTAAAAAATTTTTGAGAGTGACTGAGAGGAATTACAATAAAAAAATTACGGATTTTTTCCCGTAATTTATGAAATTTCGAGGCGAAAAGTGCGTAAAGAGAAATATTCAACGGAATTTATTTTTTATTGTTATTATTGACTGTTAATAAATAATTATATTCATTCTTTTTGTCCCCATTATCGAATTTTTCACTGGGAAATCCCTGGAAAATTTTTTAAGTGATATTTTAATTAATTGGGGAATTGATGGCTTCGCGTTCTTGAAAATTATAGAATTTTATTGTCTTTGTAAATGTTATTGTTATTATTTTTTTATTTTTCCTGTTAATCCCGGAATTTCTGGAGACTTTCAAAGAATTATGGACAAACAGATAAAAAATGATTATTCACTGAAGATTCATCTTTGAACAAAATGAAAATTTGTTTAATTAATTTAATAAGAGAAAAGGAAATTTTCAGAAGCGAAAATTAAACATTTGTTTAAATTCCAGAGCAGATGAAAATGTTCCACGGAAAATGTATGTCTCCAAAATGGAAAAAAAAATTCATTAACATCCGGAAAATGGGATAGGAGAATTAAAATGAAGATTCCATGCAAATTCGGTATTTACTTTGCCCGAATGTATTTACTCGAGGAAACCATTTTCTAAAAAAACCACATAACCGTCTATCCGAGGTCTAAATCACCTGAATAATTACGAGGATGAATTACGATTCGAACCGCAAAAGTGCGGGTGAACTTTAAGTTTTCTCCAGTAATTTTTACGGGATAATAAACAATAACAACCGGTGATTCCCGCCTGAAGAAGAGAATTAATACTTCAGTCGAGAGTACAAAAATAAAGATTCACCTAAAATTACTAATTACCCCCAATTTTATTAATTAAAATTAATATCCGCATTACGGCGGGGTAATTATCTCCCGCGATCTTCATCCACGAAAAAATGATTTTCCAAAAACATTCAATTGCATGAATAATAATTTTTTAATTAAAATATAAATTCAAAAATTATTACTTGAATTATTTGAAAAAAATTTGTAATTAAAAAGTAAAAAAAATTTATTGATTAATGTAAAAATGATATTTTTGGGGGATAATTACAGAGAAAAATCGAGAATGAAAGAAATCCATTACCGGGGGGAAAATGGTAAATTTTTTTTTTGTTTTCCAAGTGTACGTGATGATGCACGCCATCGGAGAATTATTTCGTCGACGAATTCGATGGATTTCCAGTCATATTTTTTGAACTCCGATTCCATCTTCATCGTCTGAAATATCATTCGGGTATCGGTAATTTACGGGCTGCAATTGCGGTAATTTCCGGCTAGTGATGCGACACGTACGGCGTGCATGTGCGTTTATTGCTTCAATTATTTATCTTGCAACGCAAATTCTCTCGATTGAATTAAACTCAATCGTCGGTTATTCCATTATTTCATTAATTATCATGGTCTTGCCACTTGTTAGTAATTCATAACTATGTAAATCGAGTGAATGGATTGATTAGAATGATTGATTATTATTTTCGTTTCGATTTTTCAAACGTTACACGTCATTTTGAAAATTTCATTGGTGGAGAAATTTTTCGGACAATCTCTAATACATTCATGATGCATGCATTCTAGATCCCCGAATTTCAATTAATTAGACACCCGGTCCACCCGGACATGCAATTTACTTCTCCAATTTCCAATTGAATTTTCCAATTAGTTGTCAATCAACAGCTGATTGATGCCCGGACAAAAAATACACAAAAGCGAATTTTCAACCGTCATTTTCATACATAAATATACGTTTTAGGAGAAAATGTGAAAAAAGATTATCTTTTGGAAATTTCATTGCCTACAAAAAAGTCTAGCAATATTTTTCTATAAAAATATTCGGTCCAGAATTATCCACAGAAAACTGAGTTCTGACTAAACCTCAGAGCGCTTGCCTTCAATCGTTATTTCCCGGGACGAGAGCACATTGAAGGGGAAAAAGTGAAAAAACATTTTCCCTTCAAAATCACGTCCTCTACAAAAAAGTTTTTTATCTTTTTTTTGATAAAACCCCACGTTAGGGAGATATCCCGAAAAAACGAAAGTACTTGCTCTTCAGTGAATTGAAATTTCATCGGTAATCGTTTTTTAACGAAATAATTAATCGGAGTGCTCTGTAATTTCATCGAGAAAGGGTGAATTTTTTTGGAGAATGCCTTCAGAGGGATCTCATTAACCAGATAAATCCGCAATTAGTCAGACATGTGTGGGTAATTGAAAATAAACATGAGATCCATGAATAGAGTAAACGCTAACAAGCCGTTTGTGGATATTAAACCATCAATGAATGCGTAATTACTCACTTTGATTTTCTGGATTAAAGGGGAAAATTCTACAAACGTATTAATTCTCATATATAGATATGAGATTTGATTGCGCACCTGCCATCCTGAACTGTCAACCCTTCAGGAGACAAACTAGATTAGTATTCGAATCTTGTTCCAGAGATTTTCCGTGATTTCGTCCTTTTCCGACGATTCATTCGATTACTCCGGACAATTCCACCGATTTCTCCAGTCTCCCCCCTCTTTTTATCGTCGAGAAATGGAAAAACATTCCCCGAACTTCGGTCAGAGAGAATTCGATTTATTTCCCATTTAATTCCATTTTTAATTCCCAGAAAATTGAGGGCTTTCATTCCTGCGAATTTCACTGCACAATTTTTTTATCGCTGATAAAAATAAAAAGTTGTGCAGGAATTCATAAGAAAAATACTGAATATTCCATTTTCCTATGTCTTCATCATTTTGAGGCCAAAAAATTCACCAGAATTCTGCAAAAAAAAATTGTAATCCGATTCAATCCAGATTTCAATTTTTCCGCTTGCCTAAAAAAATTCCAACCAATTATTCATCAATTCCCCGAATTCTCCATTCAATAAATTACCACCCACTCGTTTACGACAATAATAATTGCGAATAAACGATCTCAGGAATAAATCTTCAATCGAAAATAAACGTTTGAGGTGATGATGACGTATTTAACAGCTGGCGCAAGAAAACGTTTTGTTTCGGCGATAATTTTCTTCCCTTGTACTTCATTTAATCAATTGAAATTCATAGTAAATATTGTGTAACCGTTACCTGAGCTGTCAGATGCAGATTGCAGTGTCAGAATCACTGATACCATTGAGTTTAATGTAATTAGAAACCCCAGTACCGAGGGAAAGTACTAGACTGTAAATATACTGAGAAATCCAGAGAAGCGAAATGTTGAGAAAAATTATTATCAAAATATTCCCATATAAAACATTAAAAAATATTATACATTAATATTTTTACTGATCTCCATATTTACATGGCAATATAAATATTTACATAAATTTTTTTCTGACGATTTAATTAAGTTAATATAAATATTTTAATGTAGATATTTTTAATATACATGAGAATTATTTTAATTTTCGTGACGTTGGGATTGTTTTTCGAATATATCCATCCACCCGTAATCTGCGAATAAATAAAAATCTCGAAAACCATCGACAAAAACATCATAATCCTTTTTTGTAGCCAACAAAATTCCCCACAAAAAAGTGCTCATTAAATTTCCTCCAAAAATCAATATTTCTCGATTTATTCGGGTTTATGTAATGGTCATTGAAATATCGAAAATTTCCGCAGCTCTCCGACGCCTTGCCGACGTATCCTGGAGTTCTTGAGAGGATGCTCTTCCCCGAAGGTACTTTAAGAAATGACTCACTGAATGCTTCATCCCTTCTGGAAGTCGACTACCTGCGAAGCAACACCGCGATGCATCACCTGAAGAACTACACCCACATCCTGGACAGCTTCAACATCACCGAGGAGGACCTCGATTACATGAACAATTACAGTGCCAATACAATAAATACGTACCAAACGGTGTGCTACTGCAGTGGTTACATTCGCCAATTGGCACTCTCGTACAGAATTTATCATGGATACGTTGCCCTGGTGGTTTGCTTATTCGGAACAGTCGCCAACATCCTCAACATCGTGGTCCTCACTCGAAAGGACATGGCGATGGCACCCATCAACCGAATACTCACTGGTCTCGCTACTGCTGACATGCTCGTCATGGTCGAATACATTCCTTTTGCCGTTTACGAGTACCTCCTTCTACCCGAGCACCAGAGATTTCCGTACTATGGAGCTGTATTTGTATTATTTCACATGCATTTTGCTCAATTGCTTCACACTATCAGCATTGCACTCACCTTATCACTGGCACTCTGGAGGTACATCGCCATCAGGTCAGTCACGTCTTTCACTGAGATAATCCATTTTTTTTTTCCATTTCCTATGGTTGAAACGAATTGAATAGTCGAAATAATTTGAATAATAATTTAATATTATTACAATATTCGAAAAATACTTGCGTTCTTCTCGCACTGAAAAATTATTTTTAGTCATTGATTTTATTATTAAGTTCTTCAAGGTAAATATCAATTTTTAGCTGTTTACGGGGTGACAATCAAGTACAGGGGACATTAATTTATTCCGCAGCAGGAACTTTTGGTGAAAGGCAGCAGGAAACCTTCAAGCTTGTAATTACTTGAAGGAAGTCCTTAAATCCTGCAATTAGCTTCAAGTGATGAAAAAGTCTCGGGAAAAAAGGAGAATGAGAAAGATATGGATTCAAGTAATTTCCGTACGAGTCAAATGGATTTTACTCTCGATTGATGGAAAGATTCATTAATATTTTTTCTTCTCTTTTTTTGTCGCTTGAGTCTTGAGAAACTTTCAGTTCCTATAAATCTCCGGTGGTATTAGCTCTCGGAGCTTTCAGAATTCAGAATGAATTGTCGGAGCTTAACACCTGTTTCAGGGGAATCTCAGGGGAGCTTTCATTTTTTATGGAAATTTTTATCGATTTCGCCCCGGAATTTTTACACATTTTTTGGTCGTCGCTGGAAATTAGAACGTAATTAATTATTCAGTGTCGCGGGTTCTATTTATCAGAAACGTGACGACGGAAATAATACGAGGGAATTAGAGATAATTCATCTGTTGAAAAAAATTTGGGGCCAGGGGTTGTAATTTTTTTTAATTTTGAACTCCTGATTTTGAGCTTTGAGATAAAAAATCCTAAAAATAATTTTTTATTGTTATTTATTACGTTATTTATTGTTGAGTCATCCCCTTTTCGCATTTTACAACGGAATTTATTTTTTATCGAACTGAAATTTACAGATAATTACAGAAATTCCTCATCCGATTTTTTCTGAAAAAAAAAAGAAAAATAATATTTCATGCGGGGGAGTTTTACACTGATTACGAGAGAAAAACAGACACTTCCGGATTTATGGGGTGTAAAAGGGGCTGCACAGCTGATATGAAAACAAAACAGTAAAAAAGTTCGATTCACTGCGCGCATTTTTACCGCAAATCGTGAACGAGTCACTCATAAATAAATCAAGTGATCAGAAATGACGAGAATTTTCCGCAATTGCCAGAATAATTCACAATTACTAATCCATTAATAATAAATTATGAATAAATAAAAATTGTGAAATGATAAACTACAAGTGATTTTTTTTGGACGCCAGTCTTTCCTCGATATCTCAAAATTGACATGACATACCGATTTTTTCATAGATACCTTTTTTCCAGATCTCATTAATTTCTATAAAAAATGTTTCTATAAAAAAATCGCTAGCTCTCTTCAATTCTGAGATATCGGGGAAAATTGTGCGCGAGAAAAAATGCACTTACTCCAGTTCATCATTTCGTTACTGAATTGGAGATTGGGTGCATCGTATTGAGTTCCAGGAATGAAAAGTCTCAAAAAGGTCTAGGATATGATGAAAATATTTCGTTTCTTTGGTGAGATGGCACCTAGTGTAACGAGGTGTACTATTAAAATATCGTCTTACGTCGTTGAGTAACAAGAACTCGATAGCACTTTCAATCTATATTTCAAAGTGAAACAAGAATATCTGGGACGACAGGAGAAAATAGAGAGATGCTGTCAAAATTTTCTCCGGCACAATCGGAACAATGACAGCTCTCACCCGTGGATAAATGTCTGGAATTTTCTTCTTTCTAGTTTTATTTTTATTGTTGACTCAACTGCGACGAATTCCGACTGCATTTTTACGACAGAAAATAAAGTGTGAAAGCTTTTTAGAATATTTCCTCAATCCAATCGATTTTTTTTCGATTTTTCCGTTTTAAATTGTTCAAATTCCCAATAAATCAATTTGCATTAATTATCCATTACCAATTTTTAAATAATTTATTAGATTTCTCCTGATTTTTCCGATTTTTCCAATTCCTTGTAAATAAATTAAATCGAACTAGAAAATTATCGTGAGAATTTCAGAGATTTGAAAAAGTTTAAATATTTTTTTTTATAATATTCTCTCCAGATTTCCACAGCACAATCACGCCTGGTGCACAGCCTGGAGATGCAGACTGGCATTGTGGTGCAGTTTTATAATCCCAGGATTTGCCTGTGCCCCAAGTTTTCTCGTGTTTGAAGTGAGTAGAATTCAGTATCAAAGACGAGACAAGAGAGACCTTCCACTAGCGCGAATGGAGTCGTATTTTCTATTCATCCCCATAAAGTTATCAAAACTGCGATAATAATTCCATCCTTCAATTTCATTCCAAAATCCCCGCGAGCTATTTCCCCACCTTACACCTTCCATATTTAAATAAACAAAAAAAATAATTAAACATTCCTAATTAAACATTAATTAAAAAAAAATCAACTCGAGTTATTCTCTAATCTCTCATGATTTATTCATTATTATTCTAGTAATTTCTGGAAAAAATATTAAAATCCAACAAAATGGAATAAATAATGATTAATTGAGAAGAATAATTATTCCGAATACGCAATATCCAGCGGATTCCGGGTGATTAATTATGCAGAAGGTTCATCACTGATTACCCCACGAAAATCCGTGGGAGTAAAGGGGGAATCCCCTCAGAAGACCGCGGATTTCTTGAGTGTAATTAACCGAAATGAGAAAAGATGACGGTATTCTCCACAGATACACAAACAACCGGTTATTGAGGATGGCAAGGAGGAGATACTGTACTACGTGGATGCTGCGAGTTACTCAGGAAAGGGTGCCCTGTATCAGCTTAATTTCTGGGTATTAGCTGTTGTTGTCAAGCTTCTACCTTGTTTAGTACTCACTGTCATCAGCTGCTGGCTGATAAAAGCCCTCTACAAGTGAGTACTTTTATTTTTTTATCCCAATATTACCCATGACCCATCCACTGGAAATTCATTGATTCACTTAGAATTCGTCAATTAATTTTTAATCAATTAAAATCGTTGAGATTTTTCATTTTTCGTTTATTACATCCGAATATTTTAGTTCACCTGGATTATATTTATTTAAATAATGAGAATCGGTGGATTTCCTCTATTTATCTCGTTTCGTCTTGAATATCTACGGAGATCTATCGATCTCGCCTCGAACCCTTGGGTGATGAACCGCATCTACTAAGACTCCTCTCCAAAAGCTCAAACTTCCCCTGGGCCTTCTCCCTTCATGAATAATTTCTCACATAAATATCAATTCCATCTCCGAATTTAACCCGGAGTGAGAATGAATTTATTCAACGGGGGATTCCATCCCAGAAAGGATTGACTTATGACATAAAAAAAGATGAGCTCTCCCGAAATTTAATATCACGTACTGACACTTCAATTCACTTCCGAACAATCCGGAAAAATAATTCAGTTAAATATTGACTCCAACGGATTTCCCGAGGAATCCCGGGAATTTTCGGAAGGAAAAATCTTTCGATAAAAAATTCATGTTAAGGAATGAATTCCTCGAAGCGAATGTTTATTTATTTTAATGAATTTTTAATAAAATTCCTGTGGCAGAGCAAAAGGTCGTAAACAGGTGCTGCGTGGTTACAACACGTGTACCAGCGATGGTCCCACCAGGAGGCCATCAAAATCGGAGAGAAGAGCTGATCGCACCACTCGCATGCTAGTTGCCGTTCTCCTCCTGTTTCTCGTCACTGAAATACCCCAGGGTGTTCTCGGATTGCTATCCGGAATTCTTGGTGACTGTTTCTTTCGCAATTGTTATCACAACTTTGGGGAGATAATGGATATACTGGCGCTTCTCAATGGCGCCATTAATTTTATCCTGTACTGCTCAATGTCTAGGCAATTTCGGATGACATTTGGTCAGCTGTTCAAGCCCAGGATAATGAACAAGTGGCAACCAGCCAATAATCATACTGAGGTACAGAGTACTTACGTATGATGCAAACGCAGGGTCTTCACGACTACGAAAGTATGAAATCGTTGGCTTCATTAATTATCCTTTAATTACATAATCCTTTAATCCTTTAATTAATACATCTTTTAATTTAATTAATTATCCTTTAATTTAATTAATTATCCTTTAATTAATACATCTCTCTTCCCAGAATATATTTTTCATGATAATTCTTTCAAAAAATGTCAATCGATTAATAATAATAATAATGATAATAATTTTTATCCATTTTTATCTGGTTTTTTTATTTTTCATAGCGAAACCGAAAAAAAAAGAATTTTCATTCAAAATTATTATTATTGATATTGTTGTTATTATTATGTTTCAGGGATTTTTGGAAAATATTTTTTCAATTTTCAATTTTTTCAATTTTATGCACCTCTGAATATCAAATTCATACCAAGCCGAAATATTATGTCATGGCAACGAATTAATTGATTAATCCCCATTTTGCAATTCTATGCTGATCTGTTATAAATATATTCGTGGTGAATTTAATCGTTTTTTATACGTGCTATTGTAAATATTTTCTTGCGCCGCGCAGTTGAGATTTTGGGGGACGAAATATTTTTGATATTTGTTGTGATATTCGGGGGTTTTTATCAGTGGAAGCCAGCGACATGGGGTGGAAAAATTTTTCCCCTTTCGGGGATGAAAAATTCTGAGGGGATATAACATTTTTTAAAGCTCTGGGTTTTCGTAGTCGATGGAGATCCTGAGAATATTTTATTGTTGTCACAGGATTTCGGGGGAGTTTCACGTTTGGAAATTTTTGACTTTCTGAAATTCACTGGAAATAACGAATTGAGATCCTCGAAATTGTTTAAACAATTCGCATTCGGTTCTTTATGAAATTCTTTCCTGTGATTTTCCGCGGTTTTTCCAGATTTTTTTTCAAATTCCGAATAACGAATTTCGTCTGGATATTTAGGAATCATTAGAATTTATTGTAAGAAAAATTCTAGGGATTTCTCGAGACAAAAGTGGAGTCTCTCGTCATCAACAATTTAATAAATAAAACCTGTAAAAATGATAATGTACAGTATAAATCTCTAAAAAAAATATTAACCTAGTGATAAATTTGTACAAAGAAAAATGTGAATATTGTGATAAAATAATGAATACCCGACGAAAAATCACCCGGATTTTCCTCGAATGAGCCCAGGGGGAAGTCCAAGTGATTGGTGTGATCAAGAGATAATATAAAATTGTAGATCTCCGAAATTTAATAAAAACCATTAAAACCACTTGTCCATAAACATCAACCCTTATTCAACCCACCACCCACTCGTATCCTCCCAGTTTCCAGCTATTCCTGGATATCCGATTCTTCAACTTCTGCACGCACCAACAAATCCTTCTGAGAGGATCACGAGAATGGAATCGCACGAGGATGGAATACACAAACCAGTCAGGAGGTGGTGTACAACCATTTGTCTGGGTTACTGGAGCATTACAACTTGGAACTCACCGAGGGGTGTTGCTTCCTGGAGATGAAAGTAATCGGTTGAGAATGTGAAGATGAATCATGTGATATGGATGTCTCGGGGAAGGCTTACGTCCACTTCCTTCATCGGCTTTGATCAATCCTTTGATTTCCAATCGGTTTTTCTCATGACAGCGAAAAAAATTTGGAATTCTGTAAAATCTCTGGTGAAAAATTTCTTATTTACAGAATAATCCACTGATTTTTATTTTTCTGTATTGTCATTATTATTAATAATAATAATATTGTGATGATAATAATTTTTAATAACAATTATTTCGGGAAAAATAGAGAAAAATGAAAATCGATGATTATTTAAAGAAGAACTTACCAGAAATTTTCTCGACGATTAATTAATTTTAAAAATCAGATTTTCCTCATTAACAATTTCTATCAGTAATTTATGTGATATTTATAATGAGACACGAAAGCCCTTTGATGTTGAATTCTCAGGGCTGTGGGTTTTTGATAGAATTTCTGGACAATTTTCCATAAAACGTAGTGGATTCTAGAATTAGAATTTATGCTTTAATGAGGTCAACTGCACGACAAATATTTTGATTGCAGTCTCTCAGAGATTTGGTATTCATGGAGTAATCTCTGGTGTTATTTAAATCTTTAAATGCATGAAATGAATAATGAGAGGAAAATGCACGAGGGGTTGGAAAAATTGGAGTTGATGGATTCGATGTGGCGCGAGCTGGAGAGTGGAAAAAATTGTTTTTTTTTTCAGATTATTGGATTCCGCGGAGGAAGTGTCTGCACACGTAAAACACTTAATGGACACTGACCGGAAGTGATTTTATTTTAATCCCAGCGAACATTTTTTGTCTCTTCTTTTTTTTTTAATTTTTCTCATCCGCTTGCGCAATGGAAACGATAAGATGTAAAAGTCACAAAAAGTTAATTTCGGTAATGAGGTTTTTAGGAAATATCTCGGAATATGATAGAAATACCGCCATTTTGTATGGAACTTTTTTTCGAGGAAATATCATCCTCCAGAGAAAAGGTCATATAAAAAATTGCACCATCTCATTCACGTACCGAGTAATTCCGCAAAAACGGTGGCCGAATCGACTCGCCATAATGCCACCGTGTGGAAAAGTGACTTTATTTCATTTCGACAATTGCTTCCCGTCGATTCCGTCTCTCCCCATTAGTTTCTCATCCGTGGCATCCAGAATAGACGTTTCCTCTCAATTAGATCAGAGACTCAAATCGAAAAAGTGTACATCAAGTCAAGAGGAGGGAAAATAGAATTGTGGAAAATCCTTTCAACCGCCGGGTGAATTGAGTGAACGAATACAAAAAAAACATCATCCAGAGAATAGAAAAATTGCGGTGGAAAGCTGAAGAGAAGAATGTAGAAATATCCAGGAAAATGAGAGAACGTGATGTGCGTTTGGTCCAGATGTGGTTGCACCTGGAGCTCTTAGTAGTAAAACTGCGTATCGGTATTGCTTTTGCGTGACATCAATTCGAGGAGTTGAATTTTCCACCAAAAAGCAATCGATAGAGATACTTCTTCCTGGGGCAATTCGATACTCATCAACTACCCCAAGGTGTAATTAATTGGAGTTGATGAATATATTATCGAGACCATCGGGCTCTTGAGTAATTAAACAGCAATTAACCACTGATTATTCTGTTTTGATAATTAATTACTGTCCAAGGGGAAATCCAGCGAAAAATTGTAATCCATTTTATATTTCATTCCCTTGGGTTTACAAATATTTTTGAACAACAAGTATATTTTTATCAATTCATACAGTAATTTTACAGTTGCAGCTTCAATTATAATCATAAATTATCCATTAATTATTATTCAGGATTTATGTTGAATTCATAAAAAAAATCTCACCACTTGACTGTTGAATTAATTCTCGCGAGTCGTTAAAAATTCTGTAAATGAATAAATTGCAATAAAATTTCCCATTCAAACCTCGTCTTCATTAAGCAAACGTTTGTCTTCAGTTATCCTGGTGTTGGCCAGAAGTTTTCTCGACAAACTCCTGGCAGCTTCCACGATCTAAATAAGAAATGAGAGAAAGAAAGTGAATGGCTCTGTTAATCGTCCAGAGAATGAAACTTTTATTTCGGTTTCTTCTCTGTCTGTTGTGTTCATTCGTTTTTATGTGGATTTTTATATTTACCTGGGGCTCAACAGTTGTTACGGCGGCAATGTCCTTGAGGTCTGAGAGGATCTCGTTTGCCCGATCCTTTTTCCCTCGTTCCTCCAGGATAACCGCGTAATTGATGAGTGTCAGTGGATCCTGGGGTGTCAACGAATGGGCTTTGGACAGGGCCTTCTCCGATCCCTCCAAATCGTCGAGTTTTTTCAGGGCGACTTGCCATGTTCAGAAAATAAAACTTTTTTTATCATTTTTTTATAATTAAACAATTCCCCGTAAAATTTTTCTATTTAAAAAAATCCACGTCTCTGACTTCATCCACAATTTTCCATTTTTCCGGGATAATTTTATAATTAAATTATAATAATCTTATATTAAAACTAATTATGATATTATGATTGTAATTGTGTAATTGGAAATAATGAATATTAATGGTTCGCTGAAATTTGAAAATTCGAAATTGGAAAATTCGAAAATTCAAAAAAAAAATCGAGAAGGTATTCATGGGAATTGTAAAATTCGAAATTTTGGAAAAAGTATTAGGGAAACATAAAAATCGCGGAGGGTATTATGTTTAATGAATATTAACAATATTATGTAAAAAAAAATAGAAATAATATAGGAGCGCAAAACGACTTGGAAATATCGTCAGAATATTAAACTCCACAAGAAACTCTCACTTTACTTTTTCCATTCGCCTTAAATCCGTTATTCCAAACACGTAGATGTGTCGCCCGCTATGCAAAATATTAAATAAACAGAAAAATTCTGGTACAAGAGAATATTCCCACGAGAAATTATGCGCAGTCTTTCCTATTTACGATGCGAAATGCAAATTTTCAAGTTCAACCCAAAAATTTGGTTTAATCCGGGGTAAAATGTCAGTCTCGTAAATTTATAAATGCGTTATTTGGGGGAGGTGAATGGTATACTTACTTCCCAGGAGGAGGTAGGGTTGGGGATTTTTTGGAGCTGCTGTGACTGCAGAGCATAAGTAAATTGCTGCTGATGCTGGCTGGCCAGTGGTCAGGAGTACTCGTCCCAAATTGCATGCCGGAAGCAATGCCATTGGGTTCAAGTAATGAGCTCTCTTCAAACAGCTGATTGCCTGTAATTTTTCAAAGCAATTCATTCATTCCACATTTTTTTTCCAAATGGCAGAAAAAAGCGATTCCAGAATAATTGTGAAATTATTGAAATCACTTCTTGGGAAAATTAAATCCGATAAAATAATTCTCCCTTTCTTTTCCGACTGAATCGAAAGATGAAAAATTTTCATATCAAAGACTCCGAATTCTCATTTATCCCACAGATATTTCAATAAAAAGTGAAAATGCTATCCGCATTTTTCTTTCGAATAGTCGCGAAACCTCTGACAATTCTATTTTATATTCTCAGGATTTCTAGATATTCTTTAAGACACCATTGGAACCGTCAAGGTGGAGTGGAGTTTTCAGAGTATATTGCAACCACTTGGGAATATGGTGAGACACAACGTGAAACATCTCGTGCCTTCAGACAACTTTTATCATTAAAACTTAGGGCACAGACACTTTTTTCTTTTGTTCACCGGTGGGCGACTCGAGTCCATTTTTCCCCTTTTCCCTTTTTTCCTTCTCTAAAAAAAAAAAACACTTCCATTATTCCATTCAATTCGCCATTTATTCTCCACTACCAACGCAAATTCATTTTTTTATTAAACAAAGAAACAAACAAGTGTTGAAAATAATGCGAAGAGATTCTTTTTTTTTCGGAAATTTTTGCGTAATTGAGAAATTTCTGGGGATTAAAATTTATTAATGATTTTTAATTAGTGGAGAAGAGCGAATTGGTTTTTAATGTAAATAAGATAAATAGTTGTAAATCCAAGAACATATTTTTAGTTAAAAGTTTGTTTTCCGAATGAGTTCCTGAAGGTATCGGTGCGTATCGGATAAAAATCTCCGCCCGCCGTCTATTTGAGATTGGAAATTTCCCTGGGTTTCAGCCCCTGAATTATAAAGTTATAAACTTACAGCAACAACTTTCTGCTTTCCGTACAGACACATGCCGATATTATTCCACAAGTGGTAGGACTCGGGAAGCATCTGAGCAGCAATTTTGTACTTGGATAGTGCAACGTCGTACTCCTGGTGATTCTGGGGATGCAGGAAGTGGTGAATTAATTTTCCACGTGTATAATTATGACGGAGGTGATGCTCTAATTTAGTTTCACTCGGAAAACTTAAAGAAGTCCAAGTTTTCCGATATCGAGAATATCAACATAAATTATAACGTGAAAACACCACTTTCTACAAAATGATAAAAAATTTATAAACATTTCAGTCAATCTTATTCTTGGCATTGAAGTAGCTGCCATTTTCAGCTGCCAGGATCCCCAAAAAAATGTTAATTATTTCTTTCAATATATTCAATAATTCGGTTGCTGGGTAATTAAAAGTGAGGAGCACCTGGATGATGTACGCCATGGGAATAATTGCTCTGGTGCACATTGAGGAATGGGCCAGGACAGTTCCAAATTGTTGAAAGGCTTGCTGTATGTCTCCAGTGGCGAGGTACACGAGCCCCAGCTCAATTGCAGCATCCTCGCTCTCACAAGAATTCCTGCAAGTGAATTAATTCAACTCATCAATTTACTGCACCAGGGAGCAATGCCGGTCTTATCATACTTCGTGACTCTTGCACCCTCGCAAGTCGAACTTGTACGCCAATTACTCGGGGATTACTCACACAGCAACTTCATTTCAATTCAACTAGACACCTTGGCATTAAATATGCAATTATCCGACATGTGCATCGCACAACATCTTCTCCAATTACTCGGCTTCACTACAGAATTTTATTTGCTGTAAACTTCCCCTCGCACTTGAATTTTCATTGAGAACTCTCCAATAAAAAAAGCATCAAAATTGTTTATCACATACCCACAGCAATCAATAATTAAAAATATAAAAATACGCAAGTTTTTTTTGGATTTCGATATTTTGATTGAAGAAATTTGAAGGAAATTGAAGAAATTCAGATAAAAAATCGGAGGTCCAGACAGACTGGGATTTTATTAAAAAGTCTCTGGAGAAAATCGAGGGTTCTCTTCCATTCAATTAAATTCTCTTGAGTCCCATTGTTTCTTTTACGATTTTATGGGTAAGAATACTAACTTGAGTGCTGCTGAATAAACTGCAATCGCATCGTCGACTCGATTCTCTTCGACGTGAAGACGTCCCAACGACACATAGGGAATCTCGTTCTTCGTCAGTTCCGTCGACCTCTTGAACTCCCTCCTGGCGTCCTCCGATAAATTTAATTTCACGTAGCACTCGCCTGTAATTGAACAGTGATTAATTAATGGCGTTGAGCGTGCCTTTTTAATTAAATCCCATTTTTGTTACAATTATGGGAATCAATGGAGTGATCCTCCGGAATAAATCCACATTTCGCACTGAATCCATTATATCGGTGGATTTATTTTTAACAATTAATGAACCTACTCAAATAATTGTTATTCTGATTAAATAATCTCGTTATTGAAACAATTAAATTATCAAGTGACATGAAAGCGTGAATTTGAATTCCGGAGTTTTCGATTGAATTTTCCCACGATTTTTTGGACATGCATCCGAGAAATTGTTGTTGTTTTTAATATAATTGTTGATAAATTTTTACCCAGACTGTGATGAATCTCCCAATCGGGCGATGGGGACATTCTTCCGGCCTCTAGGTACGCGTCGACTGCTCTTTTGTGACTCCCCAGGAGAAATCTTCAATAAATAATTGCATGACTAGGTAATTTGTTTATATTGTTTCTCGCAGATTTTTATAGGAAGTACTCACAGGGATTTAGCTATTTGTTTAACGTTATTCACGTTTGTGGAATTAACATTGTAACAATTTTGAAAGCAATCGAGAGACACTTGAACTTTCCCCTCTCGTCGGAGAATTAATCCCTAAAAAATTCAATAAAATATAAACAATTCGAGTACTTCAAGTATTAATTGATAGAACAATTAATTGGATTTATTATATCCATGTAATGAATTGAAAAATAATTAAACAGTCATTTTAAGCGGTAATTCGAATAATTAATTTTTATTTTCTTTTATTTTTGCGGTACCTTTAAATAACTCGCGTACTCATTGTGTCCATGGGAGTTCATTAATTCCTGATCAATTAAAAATTTTGCTATTCTGTATTCATGACGCGTGTAATGACGATGGAGCAACCAATTTCGGCACTCGATGGCGGGAATATCTGGAAAATCGATTGATAAACAGAAAATTCGATTAAAACTCGGGTCGACTGATTTGTTGCTTTTTCATTCACTTTATGATTTCTCGACTTTGTTTTCGGGATGAAAACGATTCAATACATCTCTTTCAAACCCCCAATTCAATATTTTCCTCGACAAATAGAGTACAATGGGAAAATAAATAATAGCTCGGTGTTGAAAGCGGAAAAATGCATTTCATCGATAAAAATAACCGATAATTTCCAGAGAGTGTTTAGCCGTTCAGTTTCCATTCATATAAAATTATAGTTTTTCTGAAATTATTTTATATTTTTTTGAGTGGATTAGATAATTAAATTCCCCGAGAGTAATTCGATGAACGTGAATAAAAAACTGAAGGAAAATTGAACCTGAAATTGCGGTGGGAAAGGTAACACGTGTGGATGGTATTATGCGGCAATTTTTATTTGAAAAAAAAGTTTGATATGAATTTATGATAAAAACTCCGGGTTTTTCTATTTAAATATCTCATGCACGAAAGCTCCTGATAAACTTTGCAGCAAGAAACCCTCGATGACAATGATAAAATGAATAACGGGAGTTGCGATTGAGGAAAAACACTTCATGAGGAAAAATCTGTAACGAACTCACGAATTTATTCTCTCGTGGATATTTCCACTGGAGTCCGATAAAAAATTTTAATAAAACCTGAATCACTAGAACCCCCGAAGTCCTCATTCCATAAAACTATAAAATATATAATTAATAATTCAATACATTCACAAAATAATAAACATGTACGGTTATACATTAAAAAATATTATCAATTCACCCGAAAATTATTAAAAAATCAAAACCTGTTGTATATCCATTTATTATCTGGCATATTAACACTCATATACAATATATGTTTAATTAATTCATTGATGAGGGATTTTGATAAATTTTTAAATAAACTCTGCGAACCTTTTTTCGACTTGTCAACTGATCTGTCACTCCTTCGATTCGCCGAGTGTTGGGGCACTCCACCATTGCTCAGAGTATTATTCGCCATTTAACAGATGTATGAATACCTCTTGATACCTCCCCCCGTTAATTATCTCGACATGACTTGATGACAATGAGACCCTGTCAAGTTATTGTTGCTGGAGTGTGTTATCCTCATTGTTACCCTGACAACGCGTCGACAAAGGTATGTCCATGCAACTCCATATCTCCATGAAACTACATAAAACTTAAATATTTTGTTAAATATTTATAAATCCCCTGGAATGACACCCCCATACATAAATAAATAAATAATAAAAACCATAAGACATGTAATAAAACAAGTGGAATAATAAAAAATCATTTATCGAGGTCGTCAGACTCTTGATTAATTAAACAATGGAAATAATAATAATGAATCACTGGAATTATATTGTTTATTGATCCTGATTGTTAAAAATGATTAAATAATCGCTAGCTGTGATTTTTCAAAATCATTTCGATTTTTTTAAATTGAAATTTCAAATTTCTGGCGTTCGCGCCACTCCACCGGTGCCTCTATGAACCAACAAATGTCATCACCCCAACATGGCTGCACAATTGCACAATTGTGTTCGTGTTATCCGGTGAAACAATAGGCCACGAATGCAGGAAAATATTCCATCCGAGGTGAAGTGTCATTTTAAAGTGTAAATTTTTCTTTATCATTGTTGTCATTCATCGATAGCGACACACCATCGAGTCAATCCTGATTGTCAAGGCCCATCTAAGGATGTAGACAATGCGATTGATCAATTATGACATAACTGGTGTCAGTGGATATTACTCAGGTGAGTCATGATTTTTTAAATCATCAAGAAGCCACTGAAATCCTTGGAGTCATCCTCCAACTGATTATTCAGTTCATTAAATTATTTACTAAATCCATTGCTGTCCACCTAACATCCCCTTCTAATTTTCCCCTACGAATAGCTTATGCTCTATTTATTTCATGTTTGTCAACATTTTTTTTATAAATAAATAAACTCTCGAGACCAGGGAATTCATTTATTTCTGGAGATCAACGTGAAAATTCCAGGGGAAATGCGTTTGACAGGTTCAATTTTTTAAACATTTTTTGTAGTTCGTTCGTGGGATTTTTGTAGGATTTTTTTTAACTCTCAGGAAATAATCGAGTTGAGAGCTTCAGCTGGGCGGAAACTGAAGATAACAGATGGGTTTTATTTCTTTTGTTATCAGACAGGATAAAATGAAGACCTTGGGGCTTTCAAATGAGTAGCAGATGGAGTTCCACGTGATTTGATTTTCAACGAGAAATTTTTTTTCTGGTCTGAGGAAATTATTATGCCTTTTATTCAGCGAATAGATGTTATTAAAATGAATTAGAGTTGTTTTCGGGATTTTAATGGGTGTGGGAGCTTGTTGCAGACGAGATGCAGCACACTAATGAGTTTTAATCACTCATAATCGATAATTGATCGAGAATTGATGAGTTGCTCGGTGGAATTGCGACAGAGGAGGCAAAACGGGATGACGGAGGATCCCCATAGATTGGCAGCAATGATGAACAAGTCCCAGAGGCTGGTACTGGGACTTCTCGTTCTGCTTCTTGTGGATATCATTTGGGTATCCAGCTCCGAGATGACTAAGGTATAATAATTAAATTGAAAATAAATATTGAATTTTCCTCACAAAAACACTCGTCGTCAAGATAATCAATCATTCAACAAAATGTCAAATTACTGAATTCAGTTCTCTGGCATTGAAATATTTAATAAAAAATTATCAGTTGGAATTTAAATTCGCAGTACGTCTACAAAGAAGCGTCATTCGAGAAGCCATTCTTCAGTACCTACGTCAACACCTCGATGTTCACTCTTTACCTCTTGGGGCTGTGCTTCTGGCCGCCCTGGAGAGACCAGTGCAACAAGCCCACAACTTACATGTTCATAGATCCAAATATCGAGGACGATAATTTTTACTCGGAAGCCAATACCAGTCTCAGTGATCCCACATTTGTTCCAATAAAAAAACCAGATCATTACGACAGATCATCGGGAACAGAGAGCGATGATTCATCGATTCGTGGTGTGAGATTCAGCAAATTGGCTGAAGTAAGACACATGTCTGAGAGCGATGCTACTGAAGCACTTTTTGCGAGGCTCAGTTATCAGGCAAGTGTTTGGGCTGGTGAACACGCTAGAAGACAGGCGCACAAATTCTCCATCCAGGAAGTCGCGAAAATAGCACTGATGTTTTGCTTTCTCGTGAGTTGTCACTCATAAAAATTTGCATTTTATTCACTCGAAAGTATTAAACAAAAATAGAAATGTTTTAATTATTTCAATTTCTTGGTTGCAGTTATTTCTGGCTAATTACACATTCCAAATATCCCTGGCTGAGATTGAAGCTGGAATGGTGACAGTATTATCGTCAACGTCGAGTCTCTTCACATTATTTCTTGCGACATTCTTTCCGAGCAACAGCAAAGATAAGTTCACGCTGTCGAAACTCGTTGCTGTTGGTGTCAGTATTTTTGGTCTAGCACTGGTGGTGCTGTCTGATATGCACATGGAGAGCAAGGGAGATCCACCAGGAATAATATTGGCTCTAGTCAGTGCATTTTTCTACGCTGCGTACATCGTTTTTTTGAAGAGAAAAGTCGATCATGAGGATCGTATGGATATTCCCATGTTTTTTGGATTTGTTGGGCTTTTTAATTTAATTCTACTGTGGCCATTATTTTTTATTCTTCATTATGGGCATTGGGAGGAGTTCGAGTGGCCTAACAGCCATCAGTGGACATTTCTTATCATCAATGGACTCATTGGGACTGTTCTCAGTGAAGTTTTGTGGTTGTGGTGAGTGAAATTCAATTTTTTAATTTATTCGCATGATTTTCGTCTTTATAATTCATTTATTGGTGGCCTTCTGGGATTTTTATCGTCTCAGGGGATGCTTCCTGACGTCTTCTCTTCTGGCTACACTAGCTGTCAGCCTCTCCATGCCCATGTCCATGATTGCTGATGTACTTCTCAAGAATGTCGAGTATTCATGTGTTTTTTATCTCGGTATGGTACCCATGGTACTGGCATTCGTCACAGTTTCTCTGCTGTCGCATTACGATAATTGGGACCCGGTTATGGATTTGATCAAGAGCTTTGACTCCTGGTTGTTCAAGAAGAGTCGAACTGTGAGGTAAGACTTGACTATTTGTGGAATCGAATTGTTGGACTTTTGTCATTTATTTAATTTTGTGATTTGGTTGATGATTTTTCTCAGGATTCCTGACTTGGAGGCCGAACAAACTGAATCTCTCATCGGTATTAATCACGGGGAGGATCATGAGGCTTAAGACAATAAAATTGCATTCCGAGTTATCAAATGCAGGAGTTTCGTTTGAATTTAACTTCGATAGAGCTGCCTCCAAACTCAAGTTATTTCCGATTAATTTGCATAGTAGCAGCAGCTCCCACAATTTATTTGGGAAATTAACAGCTAAAGGGTCAAAGGTAATTGTCAATGTGATTTGAGTAATTGTTTTAAGTAATTGCATATCCCGAGCTTTAGTACTGGTTGCGTTGCGTTATTCTGGGGACTGAGTTTCGAATGCTGTTAGTATTCCAGTGCTTAACTGCGAGCGTTAATAATTTCGTACTTACAAGAATATAATTTACACAAACTTAGATTAATTGTAATTACTTGAAGACACTGTCAGTGAGATATTTATGTAATTCGTCGAGGGAAATGATCAAAATGTTGCTAATCCAGACCAAGACTCCTAAATTAATTGAGTAAAAAAAATGTTCAAGTGTTGATTAATCCTTTAATGAGGGATTCGGTAGAGGAGTGGAAAAATGTCAAAGAGGGAGACTAAAGAATTTTACATTTTACTAAACGAACGGATTATCTTAAAATGTGTGAAATTTTCACGTTTTGCCACTTTCCTACAGAATATTGTAATGTCACAGCTGTCATGGAATTTAATTAATTAAATCGACTCTCCACAAATTGTCTATAAAATCTAGTCAATGAGAAAAATCCAAAATAATACCTACAAAAAAAAAATCATCTAAATGTATTGCGACGTCGAGGAACATATTTTTCTACAATTGGTAATGAATTTTCGATTATAAAATGTTTTAAAAATAATTAGAGACGTGAGACATCAATGTACAATTCTACTTTTAATCAATCATTTGAGACTGCTTGATTTTTCGCCTTCCTTGGAAGACTAAAGATTGCTCGCACAATAAAAACAATTATTGAAACAACAAAATATGAAAAAAAAAATGGATAAATGATAAGAGAAGAGGTGAAAGTGATTTTCTGCTAACAAACATGATTGTTTTCACAGTTTTTTGATGAATTTAATTTTCAACAATGGAATCGTTGCATTTCTAAAGGGACTTTATCATTACGATGCTTCTTGTTGTGATATAAGAATTATTAAAAGAATAAGAGAATTATCGGTAGGGAGTAAGCCTAGGCTTAAGGTGTCGATGTTAATTTCCATTCGAAAAATACCATTCCTAGGATCTAGAGTTTATCGTTCCTAAATACCTGTAAATTTATTGTAAATACTTATTGAATCGTTGAGAGAAAAAAATATAGTCAGATTATACAACTAAAGTTGCTTTATTCAATTATCAATTAAATTTTGAAGAAAATTTGTTAATAGCTACGTTCACGCGATGAGGAACTCATGGTCCCCCACTGACATTTCACACTGAACCTATTATTCCTCCGAGTTTTCATCTAAAAAAAAAATCCCCCGATGTTAAATCACTTCGAAGTGAGTCACGACGACTCCTCCTTTCTTCGCTCCAGCATGAAAGTGAATAATGAAAATTTCTCGTCGGAGAAGAACAATTTCAGATCGTCAGAGCAATTGTGGCCCAAAATTTCAGCTCGTAGGATCACAGACAATATTTCAGACATCAGTGAACCTATTTGCGACGTCTTCCTTGGTGGAACACCCAGGAGAAGTCACTCCATCAGTCGACCACACTCCATCACCTCTAATGAAAAAAATTACGAGAGAACCGTTTTCGATTATCAATACCCAAGAGTCTCCCCTCAACATTATCCCCCGAGGAGACGACCTGGGTGCCTGGATCCTCGATTTAAAAAGTGAATTTTCATCTTAAAAAAAAATAAAGACATTCATTTTCAGATAATTATGGAATTAATTTCGTAATCATGGGATTCCACTACGTGACATTTAAAATAGATGAATTAATTCTTAATTGAATTTTAAAAACAATAATTCATTAATATTACCAGAGTAACATCGATGAAACAACCAGCACCAGATTCACCAGGTAATTCAGCAGAATTAAATTCTCCGGGTGGCGAAGTTTTCAGGAATAACTGGGATTTAATCCAGTGTAAAGGCAATCCGATGAAGCTGAAGAGGATTGAGAGTGCAACACAAACAGCACCAGTAGATTTATCAGGATTGGAGGGATGTGAAGTGGATTCGAGGGATAAAATAACAATGGGAATTCAATCAGTCGAGCGAGGTGATTCGAGAGTTATCGAAAAATCCGAGGTAGAGAATTCCGAGGATTTGAAAAATCCCATTTCCATTTCGAAACTCACGATCGTATCCAATGCCTCCATCAATGTGCAGTCAGAGGAATCTTGTGATTCTCGAGTAAATATTTTTTATTGTCAAGATTATCTCATGGATTTCCTGGAAAAATTTATTGCTGAATATTTGATTTTACGTAGAGGGGCTTTGGCAATTATTTTTTTGATGATTTATAATTTTTTTACTGGTTTTCCAGGGGACAAATAAGGTATTCATACCCCTGGCGACGATGAGTTACGAGATATCCCCTCAACCCCGCGGAAAATTCGACGTGACACCCCAGTTATCAATCCACTACCCCCAGTGCGAATCCCAGGGTAAAAATTCCCCCGATCACCCGAAAGTTCTCCAAAAATTTGAATCTGGGGATTCAGAAGTCGTAGACAACGAGAGAATGACTGACGACAGTAGTTCCCAGGGCAACAGAAATGATGGAAATAAATTAGAGAATTTATCGCAGCCCTCAAATTCCAGTGATGAGAGGATTCCAGTAGAGACCCAAGATTTGCTGATGAAGAATTACTGGGAGAATTATATTTTTTCACGGAGAAATTCCAGGGGCGAGACTCCGAGATTCGATAATCACGAGAGGATGGGGGCACCTGAGACCAAGAGGAGGAGATCCTCGGAATCCCTCGAGGTCAGGACCCTGGAACACTGCACTGTTCTCTCCTCCATGATCAATAATACGAGGGAATTCCTCGGGAAATCTGACGAAATCAATGTCAAGGGATCACTGGAAATTCCAGAGAATTGTGGAAATAATTCTTTCCCTTTTACTCCTGTCGTAGAGGGGGAAGAATTGAAGAAATGCGAGAGTCTGAGGAAAATCCCCAAGGTCAGGACTTTTGGTGAGGACTTGGTGATATTTATTTGGAATTTATTTACCGTGGAAATTGAAATTACTGGAAATATCTCTGGAGTCTTTTTTATCCGATCTATTGATGGATTTTTTTTTCAGTTCTGTGTGGAATCGCTATTTACTTCCTGATAATTATCGTTCAGGCGTTCTACGAGAATATCTACTACGAGGATAACGAAGACGTCAATTACGTCGAGTACTGTTTCAATTACGCACTGCAGTCTTTTCAAGAGGCATTTCGACAAACTTTCGACGTCATGAACAGTCTGCCATTGCAACCAGTTAAATTGTAAATAAACAATAAAATGATGGATTAGTTAAAGCAACAAATTAATTATTCAAAATAATTAACAATTTCATATTTTTAGGGTTTCACTGGAAAATAAAAAATTAATTTTTGATTGCATTTTTTAATTTTGCAACTGAATTTATCCCTTTGTAGAGGGAAGCACTCCCCAATTCCCAAAATAAATATATTGAAGAGAAAATAATTATTACTTCTGCCAAATAAATTTACACAACGCAATGATAATTATATACGAATATTTGCACATAATACTCCCCTAATTATTTCTTCCAAATAAATTCATTAGGGATAATTGATTGAAAGTAATTGAATAGATGAATAAATTGACGTGGGACGAGTGAATAAATGGGAGAAGAAATGAATTTCCTGAGTTGATGGAAAAACTGGAGAAAAATCGTGTGAGTGGCGATGAAATAGCGATAGATCGATGAATAATTGACAGAAGACAATCGACCAGTAAAAAATCGAAGGCTTGGGCCACAGCTGTTGATAATTCGTTAGTGATTGAAGACACGATGTATCGTCGGTTAATCCCCAAGACAAAATTCAAAGCGCAATATCGAAATGTGTCAAAACCTGCGACGAGGATGAAGGAGAATCCCGAGAGGATGCAGTCCTGGCAGATTCACACCTACGGGGACACGAAGGAGCTGAAGCTGGCGAGTGTCAGGATGCCGGTTATCTCAAGGCCAACTGATGTTCTTGTTCAGGTTCAAGCTGCCAGTGTCAATCCCATCGACGTTGACATGTTGCGTGAGTCAATTCACTCGAGAATTACAAATAAATTTCATTAATGTTGTTTAAATAAATAAATTCTTGCAGATGGTTATGGAGCAAAAGTGCTGAACCTCTTGAGAAAAGCGAAGAATCTGAAGACTGATATCGAATTTCCTCTAACGATGGGTCGAGATTTCTCCGGTGTCGTCGTAGGAAAGGGTCATGGAATTCGAGATGAATCTCTCAAATTAGGGGATGAGGTGTGGGGGGTGGTACCTGTGGAGCTCCAGGGGTGTCATGCCACTCATGTAGTCGTCAGTCACGATCTGGTGATTACAATTCCTCCCCCAAAAATTCCAATTTACAAATTATTTCATTTATTTGTCATCACAGAATTTACTCTTTCCCCCATTTAATTTCTGATCAATAAATTCAATGATTTCATTTGTTTCAGGTACGTCTCAGGCCCAAAATGCTGTCCTACATTGAAGCTGCGAGTATTCCATACGCAGGATTGACCGCCTGGTCTGCGTTATGGATCACCGGAGGTTTGTGCTACAAAACTTCGCTTCCAACGATTCTGAACAAGAGAATATTGATTCTTGGAGGTTCTGGAGGAGTAGGAACTCTTGCAATTCAACTCGCGAAGGCCTGGCACATGCAGGTCATCACCACGTGCAATAGTGATGCTGTCAACGTCCTGGAGAACCTGGGAGCTGACGTTGTCATTGACTACAAGGCCGAGGACTCTGATGACTTGATTAAAAACGAAGGACCGTGAGTCACGAATTCCCAATGTCTAAATGTCTCGTGATATTTCATGAATAATTCCTAAATCAGAATTTTTTTTAGTTTATGACATTTCCTACAAAAAATGTAATAATTGTTTTTTCGATAAACCGAGCGATCGCTGAAATATTGAAGATGAATAATTCACAGGTATGAAATCATACTGGACTGTGCAAATCAGGGTCCAGAGCTGGTGAGACAGAAGGGATTCGAGTGCGGGACGTACATAACTCTCAACTCTCCTCTCCTGAGGAACGTGGACGAACTGGGGTACGTCGGGGGAGCCTTCAAGAACCTCGCAGACCTCCTGAAGTACAATATTCCTTTAAAAGAGAACAAGAGTTTCGTAAAGTGGGGATTTTTTGCCCCTTGCTCAGCGGGAATGAAAACACTCCAGGAACTCGTGGAGGATGGAAAAATCACTCCAGTGGTGAAGAAGGTATACCCCTTCGAGGAACTCCCCAGGGCGTACGAGAGAGCCACCCAGGGCCACCTTAGAGGCAAACTAGTAATCGATCTTCAGAGTAGAAACGAATAGAAATCTGCAGTCGACTTGATTAAATTTTTTATTCTCCTGTTATCAAATTTCGTTTTTCAGCTCAATTAAAATTAAATTATTTTTTTAATAAATTATAAAAAAAAATCAAACAGATTTCACGTGTGTCCTCCCCTCCATCTGCCTCCCCGCCGATGAAATCCCTCCAGAAAATCCGATTTTTTTCCTGACTTCACACCAGGTACTCATGGCTTTCTCCGCTGCCCTCTCAGTTCCACTTCTGAGGACCTCCTGGAGGTGCCCAGGATCGTTCAATAGCTCCTGATACCTCTCCCTGATGGGCCTCAATTTCTCAATGACAACCTCCGCAAGCTGCAGCTTGTACTGCCCTGTATTCAGGCCCCTCGCCTCATTGCAGATCTCCTGGGGAGTTCTGTCGGTCAATATCGAGTGGATTGTCACGAGGTTCGACACCCCTGGACGCACCTCTGGATCGTAAGTCACTTCTGAAGTGAAATCCGTCACTGATTTTTTCAAGTACTCCAAAATTATCTCCGGAGGATCCACCAGGTTTATCCTGCTTCTCTTGTACTCTGATGACTTGGACATCTTCTTCGTCGGCTCACGCAGGGACTTTATTCGACCACTTGACTCTGAAAATCGAAATGAAATTCACGAAAAATTCAATGTCTCATTGAAAAATATAAAAAAATAATTACTGACGATTAATGAGTGGTTCAGGCATTGGAAACGTATTTCCATACTTGACGTTGAAGAATTGAGCTGTATGTTGAGCCAATTGCAGGTGCTGAATCTGATCTTCTCCCACAGGTACATGAGTGGCTTTGTAAAGGAGAATATCAGCAGCTTGGAGCACTGGGTACGTGAATAATCCCAGGGGAATATCCTTGAGTTTTTCACTTTTCTCTTTAAACTGAGGCTGCTGAGCTAGTCTGGACATGGTCGTCATGCATCCCAAGACCCAGGCCAACTCAGCGTGCATGGGGACCGTGGATTGTTGAAAAAGAATACTCCTGGATGGATCAATCCCACAAGCTAAAAGAGTCGCAGTGATTTTTATCACGCTATCGCGTAATTCTCTCGGATCCTGCTCGACAAAAAAAATTCACCATCAGCAAAAAACCGGAATGATCTCCAAAATCAGGCATTGATGGAAAATCTTTACGAGACTTTTTTTGCCCTTGAAATTCGCCAGAAAAAATTTTTGGTAAATGGTTTCAATTTTGAGATTAATTCCTCGGATAATTAATTAAATTGGTTAATTGGGGTACCTGCGGGGCCGTAATTGCGTGCATATCCACGATGCTCCAGAGGACGTCCTCGTGGAGGTCTTGATATCGAATCCATTCCTTTACAGCTCCTAAATAATTCCCCAAGTGAATCGTTCCTGTTGGTTGGATTCCAGACAAAATCCTCACTGGATAATTAATATCTCCCTTCGAGGCCTGTGGATCAGCCACTATTCAATTACTCGTAATTAGAGTCATGAGGAATATTAATCGTAATTACTCAGGCTCTCACCTTGTCGCTTTTACATCTTCTGAGAATGACAGATGATTTATGCAGTCTATTTACGTTCAGGAGGAAAAATCTACTGTTTCGCATTGTCGACATGTGTATTTGTTTATTGCAATTTAATTTCTACTTTCACAATCTCTGGGGCTGTAAACATTACCTCTAGGTTAAGAATTCCACTGGTTATGACGGTTATGACTCTCTGAGGAATTCTTTTAGTTCTTTCTACAGCTTTTGAGATAAATCCAAATTCTCGAATAAAAATTAATTCCATTCCACTCTCGTCTCTTCACTCCTCATTTCCACATCTTTATGGAGTAAATTATTTGATTGATTGATTGATCTCTCAATTTTCCATTTTTGAAATATCCCCCATTTCCCGCGTTCGTCGACTTCCGGAAATGGAAATAATAAATTTTGAATTTAGAGTTTAAAAAATTGTTTAAAATATATAATTATTTTTATGCGAGTTTCAATGGTTATTTGAATAACAATTATAAAAAATATTTGAATTGATTTACATTGTGTTCTTTTGTTACTCGTTTCGCTCTCCATCGGTTTGTTTTGATATCGTGTGATAGAGGACAAAGGACGAGAACAAAAGTGCAATAAACTGAAATTGATGAAAGATTTGTCATTCAATTGCAAAGTCTATTAATTCTCTGTGAACGAGAACGGACAATATCATGGAGTCCATTAATCCAGAAAATTTTTCAATCTGCGAGGAAAAAAATATATCAGCCAGTAATAATCCCTCGTGTTCCAAAACAAAAGATGAAGCTGTGGATGAGAATTCGAATGTCATTGAACTGTGAGTAGATAAATTTTCTTCAAAGCCGTGAATTCCTCTTGCAGATAAAATCCAAAGAAATTCCATGAACCCCAAAGAAATAACGCGAACGCAGTCGACTTGATTCTCATTGCAGTTTTCTCCGAATTTAAGAGAGATATCGAAATTTTTGTTAAAACCTTTTTCGTAGCTCGAAATGAGAGCTGCAAAAAAGATTCCATAAAAAATTTTTTCATCTCTCTTAGATTCCGAGATATTCTTCGAATACTGTTCTGAATTGATTATTGACAATGCAGAATGGAGGAGCAGCCAACACCAGGGGATTGCGTATTGTCTCTCCTTCCTGGAATAACGACCTTGAAGATCGAATCACCTGGTATTTACCACGTATTCGGAAAAGTGGAGAACATCATAGAATCGATGCATCTGGCCCTCGTCCAGGCGACGAGCAATGCAGTTTTCCTGGACATTGATACTCCAGTCTTCGTTGTTCTCCCCTCATCCCTGGAGGATGATTCAAATCCGGAGTACGTACTCCTCGGGGAAGTCGACGACGTCTTCGGACCCGTGGGAAGTCCCACGTACTCCGTCAAACTGATGGGAAGTATCGATAAATCGAACCTCATCGACAGCTTTGTTTATTTACTTTCCAATCATCCCAACACGAATCTTCTTCGAGTCGAGAGCACTAGAGATAAAAAATACAATATTGTCAGTGCACAACGATTTTATGACGCATGATCGTCCTTTTTTGCGGGCACTAACAATTTCCCTTCAATTTTTTAATAACTTTTTCTCTAAAACAGATTCATTTTTATATTTACCAAAAAATTATTTCTGTTTTTTAATCGTTTGTATTATTTTTATTGGCACCAATTTTCTGGAGAATTAATCATACAATTAATTAATTTTTTAATATATTCAATATTTTAATAATAAAACGGGAGGAATTTCTGGGGGGAAATGATCAATTCCCGAAGGAAATTGCATTTTACTTTCTATACTTCAGTGAAATCTCGAACAGATGTTTCTCCTCTCTTTATTTTTAGAACTCCTCCCTCCGAATGCTGAAAATTTTAGAAATATAAATCCAGGGGCTTCTATGCATAAATGATCAATTCCAGATGAGAATTCCCTTTTATTTTTAATAAACAATTATTTCAATAAAAAAATTTCAATTTTCTCCTCCTTCAATTTTCCTTCTCCAAAAGGTATCAAGATAAAAATAAATCAAAAATAAATCAGCAAAGGCGCATAAAATTAAATATTCATAACTAAAAAGAGGAATTGCAGTAAAATATAATTACGACAATGAAACAACGAAATTACGGAGTTGTTTCTCTCGTATGTAGGTGATGCACTCAATTTCACCGCAAAAATTTCGCTGATAAGCGGTAAACGGTAAAAAAAAAAAGAGCGTGCGCAATTGGGTCCTGATTTGAAATGCCCCTCAACGGGTCGATCAGTCATTGGCCCTGACGCAATGGAGGCGCCCAGTAAAAGAGCGAGAGAATTTACTGATGCCAGTATTCCAAGTATTCGTGCAGATGTGGAGGTCTGACATGGGAGGTGGTATTTTCCATCGGTTTACAAACGTCAACTACTCAGTCTCGGTGCATCCTTCGATCTCTCATCTCCAATATTTTCTAGATTCTGGGGAATAGCTCCGGTCGACTGCACCACCCCTTCGGCTATTTTACTGCCACGTACTGCTCGTTCAGTTAAATATCTACCTGCTACCCTTCCAGGAAATACTGACATGACGAGTAAACGAATGATGACGGTAAATTCAATTTTCGTTTTACTTCACTTATTTTATTTATTATATATCCTATTATTATTAGTATTATTATTATTATATTTTGTAGTCCAGCCAATGTTCATGATTTTTTTTTTTTTATTATTTTGATAAATTGAAAAACGAATTTTTCGTTTTCTCTACATTTTTTATATTTTATCTTCAATTTCAAAAAGAATTGCTATTTATTACGATCACTGGGAATTCAATTGGACAAATTTTTAATTGTTAAATCAATTATTGAATTTTTTATTTTTATCAATTAATGAATCGTGCGTCAATCATTTAATGAGGGATTGAGGAAATTTATAGAGATATTTATCAGTACAGATTAGATTTCATTTACGAAAATTTGAGTTTCATGTAAATAGGAATAAAAATAGAGATATAAGAGATTTCTAGGTAATTTGGCTATTGAGGTGGAGATAAGATTCTGGAATTTTCTGATGAAAAATATTTGTTCAGCTTGAAAATTATCGCAGCTTTGAGATAAGGATAATTGTATAAAGTTTGTGGGAATTGAGAGATGATGAATATATTGATTATTCATTGTAGACTTGTGCAAACGTCTCAGCACAGGCTCATCACGTGTCGAGGGCTAAAAGAGGTCAAACCCTGGGGAAATTACGAGGATTCCGAGGATGCACCGTGTGGTTGACAGGTCTGTCTGGTGCCGGAAAGACCTCGATAGCATTCCAGGTAGGAATTACTACAGCTGAAACCAGATTTATTCAACTTTCGAAACTTTCTCAGAGTCAATGAATTACAACATTGACGCAGTATTTTGCCAATATCTCCAGAGCCATTGGATTCAGAGAGAAACATTCCCCGACTTTTCTCTAGAAAATTTTATTACCTATAAAAAATGTAAATGAAAAAATTTCGTCAACCGACGGGCTCCGAAGTTATTCGCAAATTTCGAGAACACTGCACTTGTTCTCAAAAATCGAAGAACTTCAATAATCACGGGCTACCACTAATTCCGGCATATCTCCACAATCATTGGAGTAACAAAAAAAAATTGTAGAGCATTTTTTTAAGTCCTTGAAATTCCCCAGAAAAAAAGTCCAGTGAAATTTTCTCCCCAATCCGTTAGCTTCCGAGATAATAGCGAATGAAGGAAGAGAAGGCAACGAATCAATGAATAATTGATGGATAATGAACTCCAGGTGGAGGCGATCCTGGTGGAGCGTGGGATAGCGGCCTACGGTCTCGATGGAGACAACATGCGAACAGGTCTGAATTCAAACCTCGGATTTACCCGTGAAGACCGAAAGGAGAACATCCGTCGTGTAGCAGAGGTGGCAAAACTCTTCGCTGACAGCGGACAGATAGTCCTCTGCAGTTTTGTCTCTCCCTTTGAGGAAGATCGTCAAACAGCCCGCACCATCCACAAGGACTTCGACCTGCCGTTCTTCGAGGTGTTCGTTGATACACCCTTGACCGTCTGCGAGGCACGAGACACAAAAGGTCTCTACAAAAAAGCGAGGGAAGGTGCCATCAAGGGCTTCACTGGAATCGATCAGATGTACGAACGTCCACTGCACTCTGATCTCATCGTCACCACAGAGAACTGCACCCTGGAGGAGTCAGCAGCCATGGTGATCGATCTTCTGGAGAGAAAACATATTATTCCAGTCTCACCCAAGGCCAATTCCCTCGTGAAAGAGCTATTCGTTCCCCAGGGAAGAATTGCAAGTGCTAAATCAGAGGCTGAGACCCTCTCCTCTGTTGAAATCAATGAAATTGATGTTCAGTGGCTTCAAATACTCGCTGAGGGCTGGGCTGCACCACTCACCGGATTCATGAGGGAGGACCAATACCTCCAGGTTCGATTCAATCAAAATGAAATCAATTTATCCACATGAAAGAATAAATAAAATAAGACGTGAATTTTTTTCGACATCAATCTGGAATTTTTTCATTCTCAAATTTCAGACACAACATCTGAGGTGTCTCCTGGTGGATGGCAACGAGGTCAACCAATCTGTACCAATCGTCCTGGCGATAACCACTGAAGATAAGGTTCGATTGGAGGGACATTCAGCTGTCACCCTGAGGCACAACAGAAATCCTCTGGCAATTCTTCGAAGACCTGAATTCTATCCCCACAGGAAGGAGGAGAGATGCTGCAGGCAATTTGGTACCAATGACCTGAGACATCCCTACGTCAAGATGATTCATGACTCGGGGGAGTGGCTGATGGGAGGGGACGTCGAGGTCTTGGAGAGGATCAAATGGAAGGATGGACTCGATGAATACAGACTCACACCCAATGAAATCCGGGAGAAGTGCAGAGATATGAAGGCTGATGCTGTTTTTGCTTTTCAGTTGAGAAATCCTATTCATAATGGACACGCATTGCTCATGCAGGTTAATTCCTATTCAATTTGAATTCATTTCAATTAGAGTGAATTGTGAGAAATTGGGGATTTGATGGAAATTTCGTTTTTCGCATGATCCAGGACACGAGGCAACGGCTGTTAGGAGAGAGAGGATTTAAAAATCCTGTTTTATTATTACATCCTCTGGGAGGATGGACCAAGGACGATGACGTACCTCTGCCCACGAGGATGCTCCAGCACAAGGCTGTTCTCGAGGAGGGGATTCTAGATGAAAATTCTACACTTTTAGCGATATTTCCTAGTCCAATGATGTACGCTGGACCTGTTGAGGTAGAAAAATTTAACGATCACTCTCGACTAGCTGTAAATCGTCTGGAGTTGGTAATGAATTTTTTTTTCTGGGCAGGTTCAATGGCACGCAAAGGCCAGAATGAATGCTGGTGCTAATTTTTATATCGTGGGAAGAGATCCTGCGGGAATTCCACATCCAGATGAGACATCAACTCCTGATGGCAATCTGTATGATCCAACTCATGGAGCTAGGGTCCTCTCCATGGCCAGGGGACTCCAGAATCTTGAGATTATTCCCTTTAAAGTCGCTGCTTATGACACGAAAAACAGAAAAATGGACTTTTTCGATCCTCAGAGGAAGCAGGACTTTGATTTTATCTCTGGGACGAGAATGAGAGGTAATTGGGATGTAATTAAACATCAATGAAAATAATTTGGGATTATCGCTCTTATATTCAGTGATATTAAACGAAATATTTTTTATTAGATAAATTCCTTTTACTTTTTTAATATGAATTTTTTTTTTATTTCGATTTCAGCACTAGCTAGAGCAGGCCTAGTACCACCGGATGGTTTCATGGCACCCAAAGCTTGGCAGGTCCTCGTTAATTATTATCAGAATGGAGACCAGAATTAACGACACAATCCCCAAAATTTTAATACAATTCGACGAATAAATTAAATCAATTCAGCAGTAAAGTGATAAAATATAGAATATTTCACGTTTATTCGGAATTCATTCGAGAGATTTCAAGGAAAAATGTGGGATTGACTGGATATTTAATTATTCATAAATACCTTGCATCCCTCGTTGAAATAATTAATTTTTTGGATTATACATAGATTTTTTGGGTCAATGGTTTTTTTTTGTCTGGGTTATTAGGGATTATCTAGTTAATGAGAGGTTTGAGGGGAAAATGTGTGGAACGTTATTTATGGGAAATTTCATAAGCTGGAAAAAATTCTTCTGACTTTTCTCATAAAATCCTCAGGTCTCGGGGTAAAAAGCATAATTATAGGAAATTATGAATTTTATTGGCGTTTTATCACTTGACTGCACCTGCTGCAATGTATTTTAATAAATTACCACATTCCAAAAAATGTACATACCACCCTTGCAATATTTCCAAGAAAGTACCTCATATTGTGGTACCTCGCAATATCAAATATTATTTTTAAACAAACAAATGGATTTATATATTTTATAGAATCTGATATATTATGGAAGAAAAATTTTGTTTCGTCTCAATCATAATCGAAAAAATCACGTGACGTTCAATTATTTATACCGACATGTGCCCGGAGCTATAATAATTACCTGAGAGGACAAATGACCTTCAAATAATAAAAAATAATGAATTATCAATTCAATCAACCGAAGTAAATCCTCTCCACGATTATTTACCCATGAAATCAGCAATAAAATCAACTTATGATATTTAAAATATTTTATTACCGTAGTAAATTGTTAAAGTACACATTAAAGATTAAATGATACTTGACAAAAATAGAACACCCTCCTATTTTCCAATATACATTATTTCATTCAACAATCTCCTCGTTATTTATTTATCATGTGCTTATGTAATCCCAACAATGACTGAAATACAAGCCTATTGTACTTTGACAGCAATCAATCATTTCTCCACGAATAATTTCAAGACAACAAATATCTCAAGTATATCAAATTCATCCAAAAGCATCTCCACAATGCCATCACTCCTAATTACCCCTTTCACATCCTGAGACCTCAAAATTTGAGTGTCTACCCACTATTATACATGATAGAAGCAGTCGCTAGATTGACCTCAGTCCCAGTATCACCGAGATCAGGCAATGATAGCATAACAGGAATGACCTGAATTTTTCCGTCATCGTCCTGCTGCTGAATATGAACGACAGTCCCACTTTGAAGTATCTGACTGGTCATGATATCATCAGTGATCATCTCAGCAGCTTCAATATTATCAGCAGTTACTTCTTCAGTATAAACAGTAGCATCTTCCATACTCATAATAACTTCAGCAGCCTCTGATGCCTCCCTGGATGTCTCATACTCCTGCTGGTACTCCTGTGAATATTCCCCATCGACCTGCTGCGTCTCGAACTTGACGATATGCCCCTCGGAATCGAACTCCTCTCCCTCCTCGAACTCCTCCCCCAGCTCTCCCTCGATCTCGTACTCCTGATCCATCTCCAGCTCGATCTCCTCCTGATCAAGCTCCTGATCCTGCTCCAACTCCTGATCGTGGTCGTGATCCTGATCGTGATCTTGATCGTGATCCTGATCGTGATCCTGATCGTGATCCTGATCGTGATCGTGGTCTTGCTCCTCAGACGTATCATCCTCTCCGTCTCCCTTCTTGGCATTTCGTCCACTGACTATTCTCTTAAATCCAGATCCACCAAGACTCTCGTGCCTCCTCTCGTGCTTGTTCTTGTCCCCCAGATACTTGAACTTCTGCTTGCATACAATACAGGCGTAGGGTCTCTCATTGGTGTGTGTCCTCTCATGACAGACAAGAGCTGATACCTGTTTACACCTCCAGGGACAGTATCTGCACTGGAGTGGTCTCTCGTCGCTGTGTCTGTTCTGGTGATGCTTTATCAGCTGTATTTTAGTCTTCAAGTTGAATCCACAGATCTCACAGGTGAATGGCCTGTCCTCAGAGTGTGATATCATATGGGTCTTCAGTCTCAGTTGATTGACAAATCTTTTGGGACAGTGGGGACAGGTGAGTGTACCCTCCAATCGGTTGTGTGTTACCATCATGTGATGCCTCAATCTCACCTCTGATGTGAATGTCTCATCGCAATCCAGACACTTCACTGGATTTTTCTCCATGTGTGTGTTCTTAATGTGTGTCCTGAGAATCATCTCAGTCTTGAATGTCTTGAGACAGTGATTGCACGTCACTCGTCTCTTGTCGGAGTTGCTGTCACCGTCCTCCAACGATGCACCAGGTGGTGTCTCATTGTGGATATGAGACATGTGCCACTCCAGTGATCTCGTCGACAGCATAGATCTGTTGCAGATTTGACACGTGTACTGTTTACCATCCTTGTGGACCCTGTTCCTGTGAATAACCAGCATCGAGTGATTGGGAAATTTCTCAGAGCAAATCTGACAGGAGCACTCCTTCAGGGCTCTGCTGTCAGTTTTCTGGTGGACCCTCAGGTGGAGTCGCAGGCCATCTCTCCTGTTGAATCCAACTCCACAGGTGTCACATCTGTATTGACGCTGATCCTCGTGAATCCTCACGTGTTGTTTCAACGTCGAGGAATTCTTGAACATTTTGTCGCAGTGTGGACACTGAATGGTGTACGCTTTGTGGGTGTACATGTGCTTGGAAAGACTGTAAAATGGTACCATCTTGCGGCACACTGGACACTCCCTCTTGTGACCAGTTGGATGGTGCTTCCTGATCCTGTGGTGTCTCAGCGACGCTGGATTCTTGAAATCAGCACCACAATCCTCACAGAGGTACGCCCTCATGGTTGTGTGAACTGTCTTGAGGTGAAAACTCAATTTTTGCCTGAATGCAAATTTCTTCGGGCACTTGGGGCACTCGAAGACTTTCTCCCAGCTCATGTGCTGGGTTTTTATGTGCTGATCCAGGGTACCCTGGTGCTTGAACTTCTCACCGCATATGTCACAGAGCTGTCCATAAATATTGTCACAATGCTTCTGCTCGTGCTGGCGTTTTTTACCTTTTGATTCCAGCATGACATCGCAAAATTTACAGATTAATTTCTTGATGCACGTGACATTGTGCGATCTCTTACTTTTATTGGAGGTGAACTGTTCGCCGCAGTCCTCGCAGAAGAAATTGAGCTTGAAGTCGTGGGTCTTCAGGTGCTCCTCGAGAACATCAAGAGATGAAAATGTCTGAATACAGTAGTCGCAGTCCAGGAAGTTTGTGTCTGTTACACCATCCACTGGCATGTCCACGTCGATAAGATCAGGAAATTTTTTCTTCAGCTCACTCAGCATACTTCTCCCCTCGTACAGGGATATTATGTCATCGTCCTTGAGCTTTGTTATTACTATTTTCCTTTGTCTGAGGTAATCTTGAAAATCCTGGAGATTTTTCTCCCTCTCGCCGAGAATTCTCGTGAGTTTCTCGAGATTATCCTCACTGTAGGAAGCACTGAGCTCTTCCTGGAGAGCTGCCTTCTTGGCTTTGGCCTCCTCCCACTTTCTCTTGAGCCTCGCAAATTTCACCAGGTATTCCTTGGTCGAGAGGGGACGATTGTCCTCTGAGTCCATCGAGCTGTACGTTCTGAATCTGCTTTTCCCCTTGGAATCATCACTTGACTCGTGCTTCACGTCATCTGAGGTTTCTGGTGTTCTCTGAACAGGATTGACGAATCTCACAGCTCCATCCTCGAATTTCAAGGCATTTGGCAGTCCAACAGTGCCTCCCAGGATCTGCTCTCGTTTTTTCTTATACTGCTCTATCTGCTGTTCGATAATTGCACCCCTGACAGTTTCCTTCGGGGGGTCGGTCGACTTGAAGGCCTTCAAAATCTTTTCCCCGGATTTAAGAGTCTTCAGGTCGAAGGGCTTCTTCATCATTATCACCTTGCTCTCCTCCTTCCTATCTCCATTTTTGTCCATCTTCTTGACCTTCACCAGAAGCAGTTCATTGGGTTTTGCTCCCTTGACAGTCACGTACATAATCCCCGCCTCGTTGGAGGGTGCAACGTTCATAGGACTTCCCATTAGCTTCTGCAGCTTTGGATCACTCGATTTGAGGACAGGGTCACCCTCTGACGAGCTCTGACACTCCAGTGAATCTCTTCCTCGTCTCTTCAGGGAATTATGACTCTGACAACTGTCGGAGTCCCTCTCTTCGACTTTCACCCGCTCTCGCTCCTCCAGCTCCTCCAGGTCAGCTGCTGCAGGCAACAAGCTCGGTTCCAGCTTGATGTAACTGTTGAGGGCTGTGTCGTACTGGTAAAGTGTCTCTGCTTTTGTGTCCTGTGGTGGTAGATCGATGGAAATTTGCTCGGGGTCGGATTCCTCCATTTCAAGTGACTCTTTTTTCAACTTATCAAGATTTTCTGATTCCTCTAGGGCGTCAGTGTCCAGGGGATTTTCGTCTGGGTCGAATTCCTCAATGGATTCGGTCTCTGAAGGGGCTCGGGGTGAGGGTGGAGATGATGCCGGGGGTGGAGCAGGAGGGGAAGAAGTTGGAGGAGATGCAGGAGGTGGTGAGGGTGGAGATGGTGAGGGTGGAGATGGTGGAGGAGGTGACAAGGTTGGAGAAGGTGGAGAGGGTGGTGAGAGTGGCGCTGGCGGTGGAGGTGGCGTAGGTGGTGGAGGTGTAAGTGGTGGTGAAGCTGGAGGAGCTGGAGGAGGTGGAGGAGGTGGAGGAGGTGGAGGAGATGGAGCAGATGGAGGAGATGGCGTTGGAGGTGGTTCACTAAGGGGTTTTGTCGGCGGTTTTGTGGTGGATTTTGTGGGTGACTTTGTAGAAAGTTTCAGGGGCTCTGGTGTTGACTTCTTTCTTGGACCATCTGGTGATAATCTCGACTTCTCCTCAATGCTCACCAGTGACTTCAGCTTCACCTGCGCCTTCTTTATCTGCATGAAGAATTTGTAGCTCATCTTCAAGTCGCAGATGCAGTCCATGCACATCTGGGTTGAGAGGCCATCGTGCTCGTCGATTTGTTCTAAATGTTTCATCTGTTGGTTCAGGCGCATCTGCTGGCCTTTCTCACCAAAAATGTCGACCAGGGGAATTTTCAGGCCTGCGCAGGTTCTGCAGTAGTTTTTCAACTGCTCTCGAGTATGTATGGGGTGTGATTTCCCGGGGATCACGGGCTCCTGGGGTGAGGACAGGTCCTTCAAAGTTTTCATCTCTGGGGGATGAATTTTGAGCTTTGGGAGGACCTTCTTCAGGTCTGTTAAGGTTTTCACAGGGGGTGACAGCTTCTCTGGGGTCGAGTGGATGTCGCTGTAGCTGTGATCCACTTTTCCTCGTGGTGGCGACTCCTGGGGGGCTGTTGACCGTTCGCCTGTAGATTTTTTACTCCGTTTTGGGTCTGAAAATGCATTGGAATTTATTTTTCATCGAAAATCCCTACGATTAATAAATGATCATAAATTCGTGAATCGAAATTACTCATCTCAATTCAAGATATTCATAGATCACTTCCAATTCCAGTGAACATGTAGCGTCGCGAATTCGACATACAAATTATAATTAGAATGTCAAATAGTGAGTGGAATAACAAAATTCCAATTTCCCACCAAAAAATCAAAAAAGTAACTCCTGGGTAATGCCAATGGGTCAAAGGTCTCAACATATTTTCAACAGTTTCACAAAAAATGACCAATGAATAGTGAAAATAAACAATATAAAATCCAGTTAAATTACCTCCAGAAACATTTCCAACATCATTCTTCTTCTTCACACTCTTCCCATCGATGAGCTCTACATTATCATCTAAGGAAATTCCATTTTTCCCAGTCTCTCTCGAATTTTCACTCCTCTTGTCATCAGGATCACCAATAAATGTAGTTTGCTCACTCATGTCCAACGAATGGGGTTAAACGACTCTTGTATACCAGTGATATAAAATAATCAATCACAAATATCTCGATATTGATTCCAGGTTAATCAGGAATTGGGGTATTTTTTTTTGATTGAGCAGTGGAGAAAAACATCTCGATTATTTTGAAAAAAAGTATCTTTGATCACGCATCAACCCCATAGAGGATAAAATAGAGGAATTAGGTGGCTCACTATACAGATGGCGCGTATCCCGAATGGCGATTTTCCTTGGTCTCTGGATATTTCGTACGACTTTCTACACCCTCTGCCAATTCATGACTATTCCGTTGAATAAAGAGAAATATAACACTGGGGGGACACACCTGGGGGACAACAGCCGCCTTTTTTTCCTGGTGATGAGGGGCTCGTGGTGATTTTTGGGGGGATTTCTGAAAATCTTGGGATTACACTCGGGATTGATGTTGCGTTTGGAGTTGTTCACTCGGTTTTCAGACACTCTTTTCATCGGAGACGCCTCGGTAATTAAGATGGCGGAGGTACAGGCAGTTTTCATAGGTGGGGTAATGGATTTTCTGGCGTTCTGCTGATTTTCTCCTGAAGATTGACTCCGGGATGATGATTTATCTGTTTTTTACCTTGAAGGGGATTTTTTTCGAAATTTTTTACGATTTTTTAGGGCTTTTCAATCGTTTGTTGCTCGTTTTTTTATTTTTTGTCTGGACAGGAAGTTCAGTTGTGACGTCAGGCCGCGGCGACCAATCACTGGTCGAGGCGTTTCGAGGGAATTTTGAATATTACAAAATTCCCTCCAACTTGAATTTTTCATCAACGTCGTAGCCGGGGTGGCGTTATTTTACTCGAAAAAATACTCATCCTCTTTAAAATTTTCCGCGTCATCTCTGAGTTTTATTTGATGATTATGAACCACACCTGGACCTAAAGAGGATTGACTAAAGTAAAGGCTGAGTTCTGGGGGTTTGAGTGACCCCAGCGGCATCGTAGTGCTGCACCCCCCGAGAGGGAGGGCGCCACACGCAAT